GTGATAACCACGAAGGATCCAACAAAACCTACGGCTGTATCTTCACTTGTCAAATAACGCGATTGGTCCACCTCGAACTTGTTGGGAACATGACCACAGAAGCATTTCTGAATGCGCTATGAAGGCTTTTTGCAAGAAAAGGAATCCCAAAGACGATCACATGCGATAATGCACCGACATTTCTATTAAGGGAGCAATTCCTAAGAGATACCAAGGAAAATATGGTACACGCTGTGCACGAAAGTTCCGCGTGGCACTCAATCGATATCCATACACAGTGCATAAAGTGCAAACAACCACAGTATACGCTACCGATAATACGACCAAATCTCAAATTTCTAGCGATGAACGGAACTGTATCAAAAATACCTCAACTTCCGACGGCGGAGTTCATATTGAGAATCAAAGGAATATTCAACACAACATCATTGAAATCGGATGCAGTATGTACCAGCGAGAACGCGCGCTGTACCGGCTGCTATAAATGCGCAAAAGGAACAACAGCATTAATCACCTGCAGATCTACTACACCAACAATGGCGGAGATCCAGTGCGGCGATGATGCATTTACACTCTCGTGTACAACACAGGAGTACAAACAAGGATAAGCTTTATCAGCAACAAAGCACTGTTTTATCGCAAATGCACATCAAATTCGGTACAACACGAAACAGCTTCGAAATCACAGGACTACTACACTAAACAGGCAGTCTACAAGGAGCTGCACGCCGCATCCTGGAGGGAGAGAGCGAAGTTTACTCGGAAATCAATCTGCCGGATTTCGCGCATTTGGCACGAACATTCCTAATGGTGGACCACATTGGCCGTCACAGCACTGCTAGTGGTAATCGCCCGCAAACGCCCGGAGCAAAAAAACATCTATCTCAGAGAAGCGACACCACCATGAGGAACAAACTGCCGATTGTCAGGAGGAGCTGAAAGATATTCAGAAGGAATTACAGAAACTGTCCTGTCCGGAGAGACGATTTGGTTCTGTAAAGAACATGGACAACATTTCTCGGATTCATGTCCCAAGGTGACTTCGATCGCAGATCGAATAGCCCTATTGGACCGTGAAGGAAGATGTTACCGTTGCTAGCAACGCCAAATAGGTGCCTGCGAAAAGCCAGCTGTCGTAGATTATCCAAATAATCTACAACTTTTAGCATTGTAGATTTGCCGTGTATGTTATATTTAGCATATCTGTTAGCTTGTCGTTGACAAACCTTATTGTTCACTGACCACTTAAGCCGTCAGGTCACCCCTCCGTTGTGCTTGATAGTCTACTTGGCGGCGCCTACTTTCATGTAGGCAATCCTTCATGCTGTATGATACTATTGTTTACCAGAAGTGAGCATTCAGGTTATCCACGCCCAAAATAGTGGCATAAAAGGGCCTGAATACTCAGTTCTGGTGTTGGTTCGATTATTACCACTATCGTCAGCGGCTGTTCCGCACATTTACTGTTGATAGTCAGCGGCTGCTCCGCTACTATCTAATAAACAGTTTACAACGTAGTGGTACCAGCTTGGTGTATACCAAATTGGTGCATCGGCCTACGGATCACTTTCTGGCGTTTCTACCCAGGAAGCTGATAAAGTCCCGCGTGGCAGGATCATATACCACTAATTAATCGAAAACCTCTTGCGCGCTCTGTTCGTCAGAGACCAGAGGCTAGTAAAGACGTTAGTTGGTGATCATTTACCACTGAATATTGAACCCCACTTGCGCGCTCTTTTCGTAAGAGACCAGTGGGTAGTAAAGAAAACAGCCGGTATTAACCACTGTATATTGAACCCCACTTGCGCGCTCTTTTCGTAAGAGACCAGTGGGTAGTAAAGAAAACAGTCGGTACTTTAGCTACTTGACAAATTGAAAACCCTCTTTGCGCGCTCTTTTCGTAAGAGACCAGAGGGCCGTAAAGGCGTCAATCAACAGTAGCTAACCACAGAATTTTCTGAAAACTTTCCTAGCGCGTCCTTTTCGTAAGGAACCGGGAAGTGGGAAGAAATTTTTTGTGAAAACACCCAAATTCTAGTGAAACTCTCTTGCGCGTCCTTTTCGTAAGGAACCAGAGAGCGGAACAGCTTTTGCGGTCAGAAGTCTCATAGTTCATTCAAGAACTGTTGAACTTCAAGGATTTCTCAATCCTATACTGGGCAAGGTCCAAACCTACCAGTCAGCACAGCGTTCAAACTAACGGCACGCTTGCTAAATAACTAGAAAAAGCTACGCACTCCACTGCTAAGCTCACTAGTGACTAGTTTTCTTGCACCCAGCAAGGAAAAATCCCACAGAGGTCCAGACCCAGCCAACCTCCACAGTTCTCGACAGCTGCGAGTACTAAGTACCCAGCCAGAACTCTACTACAAACAAACACCTGCAGTGCCAAAGCACGCAGACGACGAGAGCGCAAGGGATTTAAGTTCATGCGCACAAGGCAGACGATGGCTGAGCTAACTCTATATAAAGCTCGCATATCTATGGCTTGCTCATCAATCAGCGGTCTTGAAGACAAGGTCCGCAAAATTGATAAAGCTTTTGAGTTTCCCAACACCGCAACCAAATGCAACGCCTTCATAGCGGACAAAATAGCAGAGATTGATGAACTGCAAATTACCCTAACAGGTTTACTGGAGAACCTGGAGGCGCAAGTGCAAACTGCCATGAATTTTCTTGGCGCAAAAAAGGACCAGTCAGACAAAGACAGATTGATGAACGATTTGGCTGCCTTCCTAAGCACAGAAGCAAACGGTCTACAGCTTGAAGGTATCAACTGGACCAACAGGTTGAAATATCGAACGAGGGAATTAGAAAAACAGTCAAGTGTAATCCACTCATTAGCATCGTCTTCGATACGATCACCAGTACCGGATACGGACACGGATAGTTGTCTACCCACAAGACAAAACAATGAGCACAGGGTCCGATTACCAGTGCTGGAAGTTCCAACGTTTAGTGGAAGCTACAAAGACTACCCGACGTTTTGGACAATCTTCAATTCGCTTATACACAGCAACGCACAGCTTACCGACACTGATAAGTTCCTATTTTTGAGGCAAGCACTAAAAGGATCTGCTGCTTCTATGCTTGGCAATATTCCTGTGATAGAGAAAAATTACGACAAAGCTGTGAAACTCCTCGACAAGAGATACAACAAGTCCGGATGCATAGCTGATCTTCTCATCACAGAACTCGAAAAACTTCCGCGACCAAAGGAAGACGCCAGTAGCTGCCGAAAAATGTTAACCGATGTGACTGAGAAACTCACTGAGATTGAGTGTGCGGGAGTCACCTTGGACAATGGACGAATGTGGAGACGCTTGATACTCTCAAAATTCCCAGCATCACTGAGCGAGGCCGACCACGACATGATGGCCGACCACCTTACGAATCCCAGAGGAAGACAACGAAACCGTTACAGAAATCATGTGATACACGTGACTTAGCTAATGTTGTGATGAACTTTTGTAACCTACGTGTAACTTTTGTGATTTATATTTTCTTGCTTACGCGCCTTCCGTCGCGCGCCCCACTGTCGTAGATTATCCAAATAATCTACAACTTTTAGCATTGTAGATTTGCCGTGTATGTTATATTTAGCATATCTGTTAGCTTGTCGTTGACAAACCTTATTGTTCACTGACCACTTAAGCCGTCAGGTCACCCCTCCGTTGTGCTTGATAGTCTACTTGGCGGCGCCTACTTTCATGTAGGCAATCCTTCATGCTGTATGATACTATTGTTTACCAGAAGTGAGCATTCAGGTTATCCACGCCCAAAATAGTGGCATAAAAGGGCCTGAATACTCAGTTCTGGTGTTGGTTCGAATATTACCACTATCGTCAGCGGCTGTCCCGCAATTATTCACTGTTGATAGTCAGCGGCTGCTCCGCTACTATCGAATAAACAGTTATACAACGTAGTGGTACCAGCTTGGTGTATACCAAACCAGTCCTATGCTTCTACTGCAAGAACAGTGGACGAGGAACGGCTTATGAACATCATGCAGGTATATGTCCTTTGCCAGACAAGGTCAACCGCCTAAGGCAGAGAAGGAGAGAACTCGAGAACAGGATAAAGGATTGCCAGCGCGAACTACGGCACTCGGAACACGATGACGGACCTGACGACGACACACGTCACAGTACGGACGAACCGGGCCCCTCACATTCTCGACGTTAGGGCCGGAGTATACGAACTTGCGGTTTGTATCATTCTTTGGACCCTGAGGAATGTGCAGCGCGCAAGGGGGGGGGGGGGGGGCGGGGGGCCCCCCCCCCCCGAGAATGGGTCGCGAAATTTTTGAATAACAATCGGTAAATCTCTTGCGTTTTTGCGACTGTAAATCCAGGATGAGGACGCCAAAGCGGACTGTGTGTGCAATGGCACACATGATCATATGAAATGAAGCGACTGTAATTTCTCTCCTTTCTTTGTATAGTTGTTCAGTATCTTTGATGCTCTCTATATTTGCCATATTCGTCATGATCCCCTCACAGGTCCCTCACAGTGAAGTTACAGCCCCCTGCAGAGAGCCCCTCACAATAATTCACAGTGTATCCGGTTGACATATATGGAAGTTGTATTGCTTGTGTATTATTTTCATAGTCGCTTTATAGTTGTTAGTGGCTTTAATAATAAAGTTTAATTACCCGAGTTTGAGGTGTGCTCGCTGTGCGCAAAGTCCCACGTGTCAGCCGATCAACAAAACACTCACAGAATACTCACCGACCGTACAGGTCATCTGATTTGGTCCACTGAACCAAGAAATTGTGATTGAAAAGTATAGAAAATGGGAATTATTTCAAGAACAATCTTCGCAAAGCGTCCAAAGTCAAATGTCTTAAAGAAACTGAGGTAGTGAGTGGTGAGTTCTACCATGTCAGGTGGACATTAGTCGTCTCAACAATTTTTTGCGGGCTTTCGTCTTAAATTTCATGCCTTTCTCAGAATGTTTGCAAACCATTGTGGGAAGACGGCCTCCTCCTCACCTCAACCCACTTCGGTGTGCCATTGCTGGACATGGACCGAGCAGAACCGTGTACGCTGGACAGTGATCAAAAATATTGAATAATAGCCTATGTTGACTGCCACGACTCAAAGTGTGTGCGTGTACAAAGCTTGGCCCGAATCATAAAAACGAATTTTCTACAAAAGTCATACAAAAAGATCATAAACATAAAGCAACATTTCTAGTCTTATACATGCGTCGAAGACTAAGAATAATCATTTAGAGGTTTTGCGAGGTCAACTTTCTAAACAATAGATAGCTAAACTGTTACATAAACTCGAGAAATCATTCAGAAATACTTTTTTCTATTACGCCAAAGTGTAAGAGGTCAAAAAGGAACACATCAATCATGATCCTAGTTTAATATTACAAATTCGATCTAAATTGTGAAAATACTAGCAGCTAAAGTGCTGACAATTTTTGAAAGCTTTTTTGCTTGTTTGCATTAGCATGGCGCCGAGTTGTCGCCCAGCGCCTATTTCCACAAATGTCGGGAACACGTAGTCCTAAAATGTATAGATCATGCGTGGAAATATCCCTGTTATGAGCTTTTGTATGGAAGGTACAGTCGCTCCGCAATTTGGCAATGCTCCAAATTTTACTTATTCCTAGCGCATTTTGATGCAGAAAATAGGGCATTTTATCAATTCGCAAAGGTCAAGTGCACATAAATCTGTGGTTTGCGCATGTTATGGAGACATACGGCAAAAAAAATTTATTCGAGAAATATCACAAAAAATCTCTTATTGCACTACCTTGCCAGAACAAAGCTGAATCAGGAATTTGACCTAGTTTTTACCATACTGTGAGGCTGTTTTTTGGGTGTCAAATGTATTTTTACAGACGTGCAGCAATATGGATTTTTTTGTAAAACGGCATAAAACAATTTTTGTTTTTTTTTTGGATTTTCATGCGAGACTGAAGCCCGCCAAACGTTAGCATGTAAGAAAATTGAAGCTAGTCAGCGGCACTAATACTTTCCGAGACCATACTCAAAATCACGAAAAGCGCCATTTTCACAAGCCCGACAGACTTTCTACATGAACAATTCACGACTGACTCTGTATGTTGAAATTCCTACACTAATCCTACAAGATCAAAGGGCGATCAGTAATTCCTTTCAAGCTGGATATCTTTAAGCCAACTTTATATGTGGACCTTTATGTGCGCTAAGGGACCAAAGCTGGAAGAGTTTTGAACGGTCAAATAGGTGACAATTCTCTGAGCACCCTACGTGCAACTCTTAAAGGTGTTCAGCACGGTTCAACAGCCCGATTATTGCTCGAATATCCCAAGATCGTATGAGCGGCTAATAAAAAAAACTTACGCGGTGCTTCCGATATAGCAGTTGCTGTATTTGCTCCCATTTGACAGGATTCGTTACTTGTTTGGCGATAACGCTACGAATTTCTGACTAAAACATTAAAACTTACTGACAAAAAAATATAAGGATGTTAACAAATCAAGCTGTTTTCATTCTTCTAGCAGACTTAGGGTGTCATATGATAGAGCGAAGCAAGCTCTACAAACTGACTCACGGCCAACGCCTCAATCCAGGTAAAATGTGAAGACAAAAATTAAAATTCTTTACCACCCTAAAAATCGGGTCTCCTTCCAGATTCCCACTGAACTCCAACTTGGTCATCGTATAGTAGACGCATAGTGGTATCCAAAAACGTATTTGGTGGATTTTTTCGGGGCCCAAAATTTTGAAATCAAAATAGCCTGCAAACAGATGTATCTTTGTTCGGTTTTTATGTTAAATTTAGTATCCGTTACCATGGCGCGTGCAGAGGTAAAATTTCATGGGTATATTTACTAAGGCCTGTGGTACACAGTGACATATGTGGGAGGGGCTGAAGGCGGAGTTTGTCATTTTTGGACTATCTTTTTTCTAGCCTTCCTATGCATAAAAAAATCCAGTAAAGGCATAAATGCGTATCACTGCTATGTGTCTACTGTATGATGTCCAAGATGGAAGTTCGTAGGATTTCTTATCGCAATAATTTGCTATCATCTTGTAAAGCTTGTTCTACCGAATGATGTCCTAAGTCTGCCAGAAAATCAATAATAGTTTGATTTATTTAGAACAGGTGTTGGGGCAACTCAATAAACAAGATGCAATTTTCGTTGCTAGCTAACTACGGAAGCAGTAACATACATTTTTGGCAGGATACACATGTCCTGTGAAGTTTGAGTAGACATTACATCTAGAGGGATTGAGTTCTACTCCAGCGATAGCTTCGCGAACTTTCGGTACAGCGTCATGCATTTGCACAGTATGGAACGCGCCGCTGACTTCTAGACGTTTGACAACCTGAAAATGAATTGAGGCAGATGAGACAGAAGATGTACACCGTGCGACAAAGTGCCACTGATCAAGGATGTATGCCAAGATGAACGATAGCTGCGAATAAGGATACGGTAGTCCTATCGTTGTCAATTTCCGCGCAAGAAGTCATATGTTTTGGAGCTACAGTGACCGCCAAAAAGTTGCGGACAAGCCTCCCTCCCAATTTCATCGCTCTATTTCAGAAGGAAAACAAGGATAAAAAAATGTAGTATTTGCATGAGGTGATAGAGCTCTTCAAGATCTACAATCTACACTTTGCGTTTTTCGAAAAACATGTATTCTAAAAATTTTAAAAAACTTTTTCTTAAAAAAGTGCGAAAATGGCCGCGTCACAATGTCGCGGACAATAATTCTTCGAACGCAAAAATTTTCTTTTGAGTTCTATTCTGAAGTGGAAACACAAGTAATCCAAACGGGTAAGCATACTACTATACAGAGCTCGTCAGGAACTACACACTGGTTATGGTTGCCTCCCAGAAAATACAAGCTTGAACTTTATTTTGCTTCTTTTCAAAAACAACTTCTAACTCCCTGCTTCAAGCCAAATTTCTTCACATGGAAAACCATGCAAGACATTCAAACAAAGCTATCCGGATAAAATGGATGCCCTTTGCCATCTTCTATGCATCGGACGTGTGCTGGTGAGTTTCTTTGCTGAAAATGGCTTCTGACAGTGCGTGTACATGACCCCATCTGCACCTCACCACTGACTTGTACCGCTTTGCAGGCTTGTGACTCGGCTTGTAGTCAATGTGTGAGCCTGCAATTAGGCTCACTCGAAAGAACGAGACTTCCTCTAAACGAAGGTATGCAAAGTAGGTGGTATAAGAAACAGCGGAGATTTGGCGGATGGGGTGGAAAAACGCGGCCTCAGTGGTGGTTGGAGTGAAGGCTCTTATCAACACCAAAATAGTTCTAGAGCTTCAAGATGGATCTATTACAAGAACATTGACAGTTTTAAGCTTCCAGGATTGAACTGGTAGCGAAAGAAGCTCTATTCAACTCTAGCTGGATATCCTTACAATACCACTGAGGCCGCATTTTTCCACTCCATCCGCCAAATCTCCGCTGTTTCTTATACCCACCTCTTTTGCATATCATAGTGTAGAGGAAGTCTCGTTCTTTCGAATGAGCCTAATTGCAGGCTCACATATTGACTACAAGCCGAGTTACACGCCTGCAAAGCGGTACAAGTCAGTGGTAAGGTGCAGGTGGGGTCATGTACACGCACTGTCAGAAGCCATTTTCAGCAAAGAAACTCACCAGCACACGTCCGATGCATAGAAGATGGCAAAGGGCATCCATTTTATCCGGATAGCTTTGTTTGAATGTCTTGCATGGTTTTCCATGTGAAGAAATTTGGCTTGAAGCAGGGAATTAGAAGTTGTTTTTTTTTTGAAAAGAAGCAAAATAAAATTCAAGCTTGTGTTATTTTTGGAAGTAACTACTACCGGATTATTGTCCTCGATGGGTTCTACAACACAGTATGCTTGCCTTTCCGGAAAACTTCTGTTTTTGCTCCAAGAAAAGACCTAAAAGAGATTTTTCGCGTTCGAAGAATTAATGTCCGCGACATTGTGACGCGGCTGTTTTCGGACTTTTTTGAGGAGAAGATTTTTAAAATTTTTATAATAAACATTTTCCAGAAAGCGCAATGTGTGGGTTGTAGCTCTTAAAGAGCTCTATCACCTCATGCAAATCAATCATTTTTCATCTTTGTTTTCCATCCGAAAATGAGCGATGAAAAAAGGAAGGCGGCTTGTCCGCAACTTTTTGGCGGTCACTGTATATATGTTCTCCGCTGGATCGAAAATGGTGCAGAAAAGCAAAGATTAGGGCCCACTATGCTCCCAGCGTCTTTTCCAATTTCAGTGTCAACATAGCGTGGATATAAAATCTGAGAAAGATTTGAGCAAACGCGGCGATAAGCGACTGATATCCTACTGTGCGACGATGTAACTTTTATCCGAAACAACTTACTGTGAAGTTATATCGTTTCTGGTTCTCTTCCAAGTATCGCATACATGTCTCACTAGCGCCAATGACACGAACTCCACAGAATAGGTAGTTTGCAATCTCGCACACTTCCATTTCACCTTTTTCCCTAAACGAAGATTTGTTTGAAATCTACATGAGCAGAAAGCGAAAGCAAAAGCATAGCAGAAGTATTAGGCTATAGCAAAAGTATTGGGAAAAATCTAAATCTTATTCTTCGATTTTCCAGTTCTAAGATCTGACAGCTTCTTTTCGCTTTCACTTTGAAAAACATCATGTAGATTCAGAGATGTAAAGTTGGAAAAAGGAAAAGAAGGACTCAATAACACTAGTGGAAAATATGTTTATGTATTTGAACTCAGAACAAAGTTCACGAACCTGGATTCCACTTTTGCATCTTCCATAGCCTGCTCGAGTCTCGACGATGCATTAACTCTTATCGTCATCATTCCACTTTTGATTAGTTGATTGCATTCGTGCATAGCTTTGGCACGGGCATCCACTATCCGCAATGCTAAAGATATAAAATAACTGAAAAATCTCAACGATAGTATTCTGTAAGTTACCATCGTCGAAGCTAAGAATCCCTCCAGCAACTAGTGCGGCAAATTCTCCAACACTAAATCCAGCAACATCGGTGATACGATCGGCTATAGTTTCATCAGAAGCTTTATATTTTTCCAAAGCTGCCACTGACGACACGAATACAGCTGGTTGGCAATAAAGAGTCTGGTCCAGCCTGAATATTAACATTGTCAGCTATCATTAGAGAGAGCTGAAACTTACTTCGTCTTTGGACCCTCCACACAAAGCTTTAAGATATCATATCCAAGAATCTCTGCAGAACGATCAAAAATTGCTTTTGCTTCTGGACAATCGGTGAGCTGAATTCATATCAAGTGATACAAAAAATGTAGAACAAATCAAAATAATCTTAGTTTCCAGTATAGAAAAAAAATTAACCTTGCTTCCCATGCCTACATACTGAGCACCTTGACCAGGAAACAAGCATACGATTTGATCCTCCAGAGGAATATGGTCAAAATTGATAACATTAGACATTTTCTTTTTTCCGTACCTAAGCATACATATTTAGAATAATAAATATGAGAGATCATTGCAAAGATGGAAGCCGACTGCGTGGCACCCCCAATTATACAGTGATATCTGTGGGAAAACTGAGCAAAAAAATCTTGTGAATTTCAAATTTTATAAAATAACCAGAAAAATTTCCCACATTGAAATTAAACCTTTAATTATATTAGAAAGGATGAAAGGATTTTTCATTGAAATGAACAAATCACCTAGCCTTATTCCTCTCCTTAAGCAATTCTTTTGAAGTTTTCTCTACGTGCTCTTTCAGAATCTGAAATCTTTGGTGAGGTAGGTTGAATAAGAAAATTTACCACAAAGTCTACCTTCTCTGGATACGGTAGTTTGGATGTAGGATCCAAGATCACTGAGTGCACATCGGAAAATGTGGCTCCTTCATCCAATATTCCAGGGCTATGGTCTGCAGGGGGTGGAGCTTGGGCTCGTCTTCTCACCCATCGACAAATACTAACCAGCGGTACGCTGGCACGACGCATCTGAAAAAGAAAGGCATCTGGTTACACTAATTACTCGGAAATTTCTATAGCTTTCTATTTCAATTTCTATCGAATATATAGCCATTTTTGATGCTCGCGAAAGAAGTAATTGGCTTATTTTCTCCGCGCACAAATTACGCTATTTTGAGAGATCTACGCGCCCGTCTTCCACCAAAGCAGACCGTGGAAGGCCGACATGGCCATTTAGATACAGCCATCTGACAAGTATTAACTCTGTTGAGTTCTTGAAAAATTTCCTGACGGTGTCAAGTTTTACCAAGTCAGGTCTTAGTAACCCAATTTTCTGTGAAGGCTCAAAAGTAGATAAGGAGGTTTCACTTCTACCCTTCTTCAGAAATGGAGGAATTACCATACTTTCCCGAATATGTCTCACATTTAAACAAGCCAGAATAACTACACTCCAGGTTAAAGGCAGCGTCCAGACAGACCGGACCTATAGGCCCTAACTAAGGCACTGCTCAAGCGGCAGCGCAGGTAGTGCTCTAACGGCTAAGATATTCCCTTCGAAACTGGACCCCGCGATCGTATTTCGCATGGATTCATGGCGCAAAGCGTGGATCCTGGCGCAAAGCGTGGATCCTGGCGCGAAACTGCCATGAATCCATGCGAATACGATCGCGTGGTCCAGTTTCGAAGGTAATATCTAAACCGTTAGAGCACTACTTGCGCTGCTGCTTGGGCACTGCCTTAGTTAGGGCCCCAAAAGTACTTTCCACGTAAAATCCCCATAGGTCCAGATCTGCCTGGATGCTGCCCTTAAGATAGCGGAAGCGGGCACAACGTTCATCCTTGAGATTTACTATCCCAAACGAAGATCGTAGATAAAAACTCTACCTTCACTTGAGGGAAAGAAAGTAGCAGTTCTCATCCCATTTCAAGCTTAGAAACCAGAATTTTGATTCGTAACAAGCCACTTAGGGCCAGTTTTGACTTGCAATACCAACCAACAAAACCAGTCCTTTTCTCCTCCTAGCTAGGAGGAGAGACGACATCCTCGACAATCAATCTACTCGTGACGCACCAGAAAACATATCGAACTAGGGCGCCTCTCTTGCTTGAAGGTAGTGTCCGAGCAGATTTGAACATTCCTGGCTACTATCATAACCAAGGGTCTCTAGGGTCTCGATCTAGAATTATGCGCAGACATGGCTTTCAAACACTGTCATTGAGGTGCTCCAGCAGAAAAGCATCAAGAAACGACTTCCAATTCTCATTTCCACTTCGACCTTAAGTTCAAAACTCAAATAACGACAGGAATATCATTAGCTACACAAACTACAAGCTCCCTCAAATTCATTGTTGAGCGTTTCTTCAGCTAAAAACTCAAGTACAAAGTTTAGCGAAGACGACGCAAAAATACAACAAAAAGGTAGCAAATGCCACTTTTATTATCACATCTCAAAATACAACACAGTACAAGATATTGGGTTTCCTATAAAAATGCACTGCCACATTTATTTACAATACAAATGCAATGATGGACTAGTGAACAGGGACGATAAGATAAACTTATTTATGATAGAAACGGACAAGCAAGAGGATAAAACCAAAAAGTTATTAATGGCAAGTAACGTAAGTAAGTCTTACTTCCTGTATATTGTTCCTTAAGATGAATGTTCTGTATTAAAGATCACAAAAATTTCTATCTACAATTGATGCAAGCGTAAGAAGGCATACTCACAGAGGTTTCCAAATCTCAAAAATGATCACAATTTTTCCTGCATATGAACAATGTCAAACTATCATCGTGACTAGATCATCTACCATTTCATGTTGCTATCAAACCGATAAAATTGTGAATATAACAATCCTGTTGTGGAGATCGCATCATCTACACCTACAGTTTTCATGGGAAATTTGCAGACGAGAACAGGCGTGAAGATGAAAAGCGTTTGATCACGCATCCAAGACGCGATTGGACTAAACATATATGGGATTAGAATTCAGTACGACAATATACACAAAGTCAGAGGCTAAAGACACCTCCTGAGAATACTAAACTTTAGTGGAAATCAAAAAGATATGAAAATGAACAATGTAGGGCGACCTCACCCTCAGAAAAAACACTGAATACTGGACTGTAACTACTTGTGTGGTGCTCAAATACTTTGTTTTTTATCTTCAAAAACTACTAAGAATTATAACGTAAACTCACTTGTGAGCATGGAAATTGTACATTTTTCCTAGTTTCTTGTCAAGGATAAACGATGGAGCCGTCCTCACTTCCAGCATATCAGTCTCAAGACGTGCCTAAAGCATAACTCTTCAGCAAGCCTTTTCTGAAGCTTCTGCATATTATGCCATGGAAAAAAATCCGTAAATGTCCCGAAACAAAAATGACAATGTATGATAACTTACTTGATGACCCAAATTACAAGCCATTCTTCCAGCTAATCGAGAAGATGCTGCCAGACCAGCAGCCAGATTTGACCAGTCGTTGCCAGAGCTTACCTGGAATAAAATACTATATCAAGGAACACGATAACGATATCAGAAACCAGCTCATGATGAATGACTGAATACGTACCACCATTTGGTAGGTAAGGCACTGAAAGTGAATCCTTTGTAGTCGATATCCAAAGTTTTTCGAATTTGGATTTGATCGATCACGTCCGAATGTTTTCAAAAGCCAGTCAAGCATCTCAACGACCTAAGAAAGATGGAAATTCTAAGGACAACATGTGTCTAGCTGAACGGAAAAACCTTATGCGCATGCACAGTTCCCGCTTGAACTGGGTACTCTTCCATGTGAGGCCCGCCGGCCACGTGAGATAAGAAGGCTAATTCTTGCTCGTTGATACCTAGCGAGTCGACGTGTGGTATGATCTGAAACAAAGTGTCATTCATCTAAAAACCCAAAAGAAACATGAAGCTGCAAATCTTCACTCTATGTAAAATGTCGAACATGAAAGTAGCATCTGCCAAACTTCCCAGTTCAAAGTGGATGGGCATCTGCAATTTTGCGAAGATGAAAAAGCAACTACTTATGCTTATGAAGACATAAAAAATCAACTTATGTGGAAGATATATTTAGGCACAACGTAAGAAAAATCACCTTCGAAGAGATTTGAAGCAAATTTCTGCGGATCATCCTCAGCTTTTCTAACCTCATTTCTTTATTCTGAAGAGCTATCATTAGCAAAAGTTGATGCATTTATTCGAAGATACAGAAAAAACTCACATGAAACTCTAAGGTATGGATTCCTGATAAGATTATGAGGTCCGGTTTGAACTGAGCAATAGCCTTGAAGAACATCTCCATCACTACAGTGCTACCACTGAAAAAGCGAACGCAAAGGTAAGCATGATTCGTGTAACATGCATGACCTACCTGAAGTGATCATGACTAGTGATAAATCTACTGCTGCTAGGAGCAATCCAATCTCCCAAGGTTTCGCCTTGTTTGTACTCCATGATCACGTGCAACTCATCCTGTAATCAGCAGCAGATTGAATAAATAACTAGACATTTGAAAAAGTGTTATTGAAGAAGCGAATTTGACAAAAATGCCAGCGAAAACTAACTTTGATGATCCTCGTTGAGTTTGTCCGCCTAACTGACGGGTTCAACAAGGCTTGGCTTCTTGGACCAATGGGACCGACGAGGTAGACCTAAAAAACCGAAAAAATGAACTAACCTGGTACATATACATAAAGGTAGAATGCACTTTCACCCTACCTCTGTGCTAGGAAACCCTGATGCTATACGTTCTGCCATCAGAGCTGCGTTGCCTCCGATGTGGTATTGGGCACGAGGTACAACTGCTTCTGCTTGTCGTACAACCGTTTCGAAGGTGCTCTCTGATGCCATGTACCTTAAAACGGAGTTGTATAGACACAAACTAATGAAAGTTCTGCATTACCTTTCAGCAGGTGCTCCTCTTTGAAAGAAATGTATGAACGTTTCGTGCAAGTCACTAAGTGTCTCTAAGCTTTCATGATCCGTGCCTTTTTCACAAGTAGTGTTTAGATTCTCAATAATCTGTATGCCTGATACGATGACGTCCACATTGCAGTTAAAACTGCAAAAATTAAAATACGGAATGGGTAAAAGCAAGTATGCTTCATGCCATACCCGACAACTGCTCTCCTAAAAGGTATACCAGGTTTCGCGATTGCTCGGTCCCATGCTAGTGACATAGCACGTTCTACAGAAAACGACCTCAGCTGGTGTTGTTCATGGAGATAGCTGCAGTATGAAAATATTGAGTGTTTGTTATGTGCATTTCCAGCAGCAATTTTGCTTGCGAAGAGAGTAAAACAGCATCTATCAACCGAAAAATAATTGCTTAGTCAGCAAATTTTACTTTGATCACTTTTTTAATCGCGAATCTATGCACGTCTCAATGAAGTAAGCTTTCAACTAACTTGTCGTTACTAAATTTTGGCTCTCGGATTTTGATGATGCGAGCGGTTATAACCAAGCATTGTCCTTTCAATCATCAATAGTGGTAGTAAGGGTGTCGCAAAAAATGCCTAATGTGATCGTTAAATCTCTTGTCAGTAATTTTTCGAGAAGATCTAGGTATTTTGTAGAGCTAGCTTCAAGGCTTCAACTTAGATTTACAGTATGGAGCAAATTACCGATCCCTCTTTATTACTGTAGGATCAAGGTAGGAACTTGCAATATGGCGCCACCATGAGATAGGTCGTTCAAAAAAAAATTTAAAAAAGTGGAAAATGTTTAACAAGGTTCTCATGCGATGACTTCACTGCATGACTTTTTGCGCGGCAGAGCTTTTCGAATAGCGTAACCACATTTTTGACGAGTATCAAAAAACGGTTGTTACGGTATATCTAACAGAACTCATGGGGAAAGCGTTATGGTAAAGTGCGAGTTTCATATTTGAAATCAGCGACCTTGACTGATTTAATGAAGGAGTTTTTATCTTCTTTACTTTTTTAGGGATCAAGTATGGCCCTTAATGACGCAGAATCCTCCTCAAAGTTTCTACCGTAATACTACAGTGATAAAAAGAAAACGGTAATTTGTTCATTGAAATCTAAGTCAAACCCCGCTCTTCAAATTGGTACTTAGAGCATTTGAGAAAATCACACAACAGAGTTATTAACAATTAAACAGTAGGCACATTTTGGGAAACCCTGTATAACACCCAAACCGCTCTCCTATGCATCAACCAAAAATGCTCTGCTAATCAAATCATGTTGTAATGTTGATAAAGAAATCATCTGAGACGTTGGCAATACATTTGTTCTGATTAACGAGAAAGCGGCTGTGCGCCCTCAAAAAAAAAAAATCTAGCGAATCCTCGCATAAAAGTTGTTAGATATGAAAAAGCAAAAATCATCACAACACTTCAGAGTTTCGACGATTTGGCTGCGCCAAAATTTCTACTCAGAGAAGTTATCTCGCACGACGAGACTGCCCTGTGTTCTCAAGCAATTGTTTCTTTTGCCAACGAATGACTGGAACCAGACAACGCAGTATTTCAAATCAATCTTAATGACAGGAAAAAGACAGAATGACAAATAACTAATGACATTTTCAAATAAAACCAAAGTTTTACCTGTAAAGATATGGAACGACGAAGAAAAGGAATGACAGATGTAACAGCCGATGTTGTGGCGAAAAGACGAAGGGTACCCACGATTCAATGAACATCACCACCGCCGCATCAATCACCTGTCAACTAGAATACCATTTAGCATGAAAGCAGAACGACAGGCGACCAACCTAACACATCGACAAGAGCGAATGAGGAAGAATATGCGAGGTAGTTAAGTGTGAAACAAACACTCTTTGATAACTGATAACAAGAGTTTAATGCAGACAAATCACTTATCAAAGATTAGGGATGACAACATTTCGTAGTAGACAAAAGTGGTATATGTTGATTTGATCTGGTGGCCAAACTATTGATTTGCTGGTGACAGTAAATTTTTCAAGAAAAAAAAAGGAATATGCGATAGCATTACGATAATATTCTCTGATAATTATGTCAAAACTTTCAAGGATCAGAAACGATACAGAACAAAACACATCAATAAGAAGTTCGGAAACCTCCACTCACACAAACGCTCTTTAGGTAAACAAATCAAAGTTCGTGATAGGTGACCTTGAACAACAACACATCTTTAATGTTTTGCTAATCCTGAGATGCATTTGTAATTTAAATTTGATTATTGAAGATCAAATAATTCCACTAGCAATTCATATGCTTGCCATGATCATACAGAATACGAGTGGAATATATTGTCATGCATTGCGTGGTCCACTTGGTGCAGCAACTGGTGGAAGGATAGTCAGACTGAACAAGAACACAAAACCTTTTGATGAAAATTCTCCATATATGAAAAGACAGATCTTTCGAAGACAGATGATTAAATAACTGATTGGTACACAGTCCCCATTGAAAAAAAGACTTTTAAATTTGCATGAAAATGGTTGAAAGCCCTTGATGATTTCTGCATCTCCGGAAGTGCACATAAAATGGTACAAATTTGGCCGTTTTTAAGATGATAGGAGATTGATTTGACGAATCATTGACACCAGAAAGCCTACGCATCGGAAAAATGAACATACGACGTCGCCCCATCAGTGCTAAATTATAAACTGGTTGTCGTCAAGGGTGACTGATGAAGAAAGTTCTTTCTTGCATGAAGTATTGCAGACTTGACAAGAAATTCTACATTGTGGAAATGATCGATTTGACATGTTACGAAATCACAAAATCAGACCACATCAGGATTGAATTTTCACTTACGATCGTAAAAAATGTCTACCTGCGAGTACGAGTATAGTAGTGCGACCAAAACTCACAATATTGTATCTGCACTGCTAATAAACATATTAATGAACTTCAAAGATTGTATAAACGATATGCGAACAAGACAGAAATTAATGTTTGTGAATATAAGCACAACAGCCTTACCTAGCTGTCTTTCGCAGAAGAAGTGCTGAGGCCGTAAGCTTCGAGAAGTACAAACCGCAACACAAGTAATCAACAATTGCGTCTAACATTTTTTTTTGAAAATTCGTCCACTTTGATTGCCAGCACTTTTTCACTTGAGTACGTCAAGGTCCTGCGGGATATAATGTAGGCAAATGCTATGTACCTGTGCCCTCAGCTTTCTCTCAATCTCATAATCTCAAAGTTCTCTAGAATCGTCTTTTTTTTCAAACGAATGCAGCACCGTCCATGAAGGTACGTTTGTTGTCAATGTCTATAAGCAAAAGTTCGTGTCCTTTTGTTGCTCAGCGGCTCTTTGCTTCAACAAAAATGCTTCTGGATAGGGAAAACAGACATGGTAATTGTGCACATTCATGTCCCATGTAACAAAATGCGTTCCGCGTTATGACAATCGCGCAAAAAAACACTTCTAACAGATGAACTTTAAACGACTTTGACGAAAAGGACTGACGATGAAACATGTGCAGCTTTCTTTAATAGCTCATACTTGAAACTTTTCGAATATACACCAGCTTCATAAGCCATCTGTTTGATACAGGTATTTTCCTCATCCAAACGCTCACATCAGCATTTTTTAAGCTTCCACGAAGACTTACGTTTCTAGATGCCAATTTGATGAGAAACTTTCAGGATAAAAAAGTAAGGTGTTACTGTACTAGCGGGTTGCCTTTCATATCAAACAATCACAACATGAACCCAGGGCGATATATATCCAAAACTGTACAACTTAGAAATAAAAACACTACCCGAAATGTTATTGTAATTTAGCCACCACAACAGATGATAAAGTTAGGATAAACTACAGCCGAAAATATAATTAATTAATCATAGATCTGTTTTATGTAAAGATCGTACATGCGGTGGACGTACACTGAGTACCAGAAAAACACGGTCAAGTTTGAGGATGCGACATTAGGATTGCATGAAAGCTGTTCGAAGCGTTCAGGTACAAACCAACATTCTATGTAGCTAAACGTGTGTATGCAACACTATCTAATTGATTGTGACAAACACAACGCCAAACATGGACGCACATGAGCAAGGAACAGGTGCACACTTGAGTTTCTAAGGACCAAATTTGCCCAAATAAAAAGTTAAACTTGTAAACTGATCGAAGTGACATCAAGATATTGGTTGAAGCCATCGTTATTCTGATACGAAATCTTGTTCGGGCATACATATGATACACATAGTATGACGACTTTTGAACGTCACAGTCAGACACTATGGGCAACATTCCAGAGACAACGCTACTCTACGCTATGGAGCGCGCACAACTAGACAGGTAGCTACAGAAATATTTTGTTTATAATCAAGAGTAAACAAGCAGATTGCCTTGTAACAGACCCTTGGCTCGATATCGGTGAAAAAGCGACTGCGACACTACATACGCGCAAACGGTGCGCCTTACTGGCGGTCGTCAGGACGCCAACCATCTGCCCAGAAATTCCGGGAAGATAGTGAACTCTGGACTCTCCTTGGCGCTGCAGACGTAGGCGATAGAAGCAAAGCATGAAGCCACAGGAGCAACATCAACAAATGAAGATCATTTGTGTCCGAGAACTGTCACAAGACTGATGTGATGCACCACGAGAAAAGTCGCATAAAAAAATGTAGAAATGTATACCTGCCTCGGGATTCAGTGACACCCTGCGCAAATGTGGAATCTCCTGTGCGACGAAAAAGCAAACTTTTCCAAGCATGCAAAAAAGCAAAAATTCCAAGAAGGTCTGTAATGGGATCTCCACGTTCCTGAACCCGCAAACGCAACATATGAATCCTTGGTCACAGGTAAAATCGTCAACATCCTCAGTGTCTCCGCATATGCTGTTTTGGGCACACAAGAGAGGCGACACAACATAGACTGTTATCTCGCTGTTAGTAAGCACTAAAGGCAAGGTCCAGGCAATCTAGGCACGTGGGTTTTTTGCCTGGAAATTGACGAGGGGTCCTACCTAAGGCTTTGCTCAAGCGGCAGCGCAAATCATTCATTCACGGATGAGAAATCCCAAATACTCGGCGCCTGCGCCGTGACCGTAATCTGCGAGTAAGTCAGGATGGGTCCTACGCGAACGAAGTGTTAAAGTGAGTGAAGTCATTTTCGGGCTACGGTCACGGCGCAGGCACGAAGGGTTCTCCTCGTCAGTTTCCAGGCGAAAAAACCCATGGGCTCAAATTTGCCTGGACGCTGCCTTTAAAGGCCTTAAATCTGATTGATTGCTTCACGTAAACTCGCATGGAAACGAGCCCTTATTAAAATGCTAGCACGCGTAGCTGTAGATATCTTACTAGTCTCTCTTCGAATAACCTCGTCAGAAAAGTGACTACTGAGGATAAGAACAATTTCGCTGAAACCAAGGGCGCACTTTACCTAAATAACGGGGACACTAAAACTGCACTAGGCTGACAGTACCCATACAACTTTTGCTATAACATTGCCCAAAAAAGTGAACCCTGTGAAAAGTATAGAGATCAGAATAACTAATAGCGTACAACTGGGAAACCCTATCATACCTGCCTCTGACAATCAGCTAAACGTAACAGCTGGCAAATCACAAACTCTTTTCGAAATCACGACGCTATCATGCCTCTGAATAAAGAAAGGACATCCACGAGTATAGACGTTTATCTTTATTGATTATATCACTTCAACTAAGATTCTTAACGACAATAACATTACGTGCTAATCAAATGACTTTTGCTATACAGAAAATCGCACCTGCAGAGCCTATAGATGCACGGCGGAGCGCGTAAACGGCCGACACTCGCTCCATTGCTGCTCTCTCGCCTTGTAAACGTCGGTACGGTCTTTACGCGGTATTTATATAAGTATTATACAAAACACTCAAACAAATTTAACAAAGTTCCAAAGACAAAAATAAGCGTTTAGTACCTGATGGGCACAAGATCACCAAGTACGGAAGAATGTACGGGCGAGACTCTCACGGTATACGGCCAATCGTGATACGATGAACATGATGAAGCGCGAAAATAAAAACGACAAAAAAGATGAATGCCTCTATTATATAAGCGTGTCTCATATTTTCACTCACAGAAAAAAGTAAAAATTATTGTCTCATATTGTCTCAGAAAAAAACCGTAAATTGTCATAGAAGATGCGGGAAGGAAATCGCGGGATACTGATCCTCGCGCGCACCTCATACTATTCGCATGTTGAGTGGACCAGTTAGTGGCGATGTCGTCGCTCTCGATCGTCTCTTTCCCTATCGCGTCTGTCGTATCTATCATCGCGACGGTGACGGTCGCGTGAGCGACTTCGACGACGGTCGCGATCTCGTGAACGCGATCTCGACCTAAAATGGTGCTTATGGTAACCGAGAGCACAAAACAGAGACACTGATACTCACCTTCTGCGCCTGTCTCTATCGCGTGATCTATCGCGATCATGAGAACGCCTTCTCTCACGCTCCCTGAAAACGCTAAATGCTATGCTTCCAAAAGTAGGTTACTATTTGATATATGAGCAATATCAAATACTAGCATGACCTTGAGGGATATCCGAGAATAGCTGAAAGCGTCTAAGACAGGCTGTCTCGATGACAGTACCCCAGCAGCTCGGACACGCTCGCGGCCTGCGCCGCATTCGTGGCCGTATCCTTTGTCCATTTGCCTTCGTCAGTCCCCAATCTCTAGTTAGCGAAGTTAGTTAGGACAGGAGATACATCCGCGAATGCGGCGCTAGCCGAAAGGGAGGCCCGCCAATGAAGCGCAAGGCCCGAAGAGGCGGCCACAGGCAACCGGAGCTCGTAACTGTGAATCAGTCACAGAGATTATGTACAATAGAAAATGTAAGCCTCTTCAAGAATCAAAGAATCGCTCTCAAATTTTATTCGTTTCGCTCTCAGAGGTCAGAAAATTAAATCAAAGTGAAAAACTTGCCGCTTCTCGCGTTCTTCTCTAAGCTTCTGCCGCTCTTTTTCATTCTCTTCATCACGCTTTCTGATGCGTTCCTGAAAATACCGAAGTTGGAAAAGGAAACTACTCATGCTGTAGACAAGTGCAAGAGTCTTTCGCGTACGATTTAGACTGTCATACGTGAACTCAAAATAACATACCCTGAGCTCCTCAATAGTAACCTTAATTTTGGAGAATCCCATGTGCATTTTTCCACTCAAATGTTCCTCGACACGACACTGAGCATCATTTTTGATGAGCATGGATCCACATACTTCGCACACCTTCAATAGTGATGGTAGAAAGTGAAAACAGCTAATCTTATCTGCTCTTACCTCCATGACTTTTATCTGCGATTCATCAATAGGAGGAGGCACAGCAACGGTGCTATTCATTCTCTGTAAAATGTTGAGCGATGTTAAAACTGAATATCGGAATATAGATACCTCTTCTATAGCAGCTTTCTGCTTCTCCAAGTGTTCAATCTTCTCCACAAGCTCCTGGCACTTGGTGACAAGACCTTCCTCACCAGCCTTTTCGGCCTCTGCCATATGTGTTTTGATTTCAGCGTCAATTCTGGCAATTTCTTGTTCATCGCGGAGCTTCCTCAAATCTTCCTTCTTCTGTAACAAAGACTCATACGTATATGAGACGGTGATGGGGGTTACATCGCTATCATTTGTTTCGAGACATACCTGTCCATTTTCTTCGTTCGCCTTCAACTTCTCCAGATTCTTTCTGATACGTCGCTGGTTATCCTCATCCAATCGTGACAAAAATTTCAAAAATTCTCTCTCAAATCCGAGTTTCTCAAACTTGTCGCTTTTTGGGTATTCTAAGCGCAAATTGTCATCGTGAACCTTCGGACAAACTCCTAAAAAGTCATGGTTTTGGCCAGGTACATATTCATGGGAGACGACTACCCAAATCCGCTTTGGTATTCACAAACATATCATGCGGACAGAATCCGACAATGTAGTACTTGCAGATGTCCGGATCCTGAATAAAAGTTATGGACATCTAATAGCTAGACAACCTTTACAACCTAACCAAAAAGCAAAAGTAGAGACAAATTCATTGTTAATGAGCACAAAAGTTAACTGAAGTGCCTTGCTAATCAACTACGCTTGCTATTTCCACTAAAGCAGCAACTAAGGAAAATGGAATGTAAGCGCTCAGACGGTAGGGACGTTTTCCCCGAATAGACCGCAACATAAATAATTTCTGGGAATCAAATCACTTCCGAATTCCACAAAACGAAATGCCCCAAACAAAGTTTTTCACAGTAGTAGTTATGCCAAACCTTCTTGCAAATCTTCTTGACATCGCGTTCACCCCCCCCTCGGTGTAGCAAACAACACTAACTCCCTTCTTATGCGATATACGAATATGTAATTTAACCTAAAGAGCTCCTTTCCCCACTTGACGCATGCATTCACGAACAAAAGATTTGGTTGACATGATAAAATTTGACGAGGAGCTACAGCATTCGTACTGATGTTCGCCTATCCTCAGGTAGATTTGATGAACTAAACTCACATCGAATGTTACTTTGGTGTCTTTACCCAACTCAACATTTCGCTTTGGACCCATCAATTCGTCGAGCATAGCCGCCATGGCGTTACGCGCCGACATGGTTGAATCACCGGTGCTTTTCTGTAGGTCTGAATGACAACATGAAATTGCAACGAACATAGCATGCGAAAAGATGAATCAAGATAAAACTGAAGATGTTGTTCAATTTCGTAAGTAGAGCTCATCAAGAGTGAATTTAGAAGAGCTAAGAACGAAGAGGCAATCCCTTTCAGATCACAATGGAATTTGCACGTGAAGACATGACCTGTCACAGCTGGCGAAAAGACAACATAAAACCATGCACAGTTCAAAAACCATAAAGAATACGATGGAAGTCTTGTTGTTGTTTGAAAAAACATAAGGACTCCGACGAAACCTTCTCAACAAAATGTGCATAGCGGGAAGCTTTGTTTCAGCGTATTGTCGTTGGGATCTAACAGTGGCAGTGGTAAACAAATAAGCACGTGACGCATCTTTGCAAACACAAATTAGAGCGCACTGAGATGAACTGCGTACTCGTATTAGGCGGAGATTGTGCTGTCGCAGCAAATCGATCTCAAAGAGCTATCATTATATTACGCTACTCAGAATGATATCCTCAGTTCCCACTTTCAATGTGTTAATCATCCCGTGCTTGATTTTCCTCAAAATCCGCTTTGACATGATCTTTTCCGTGAGGCCACAGTTCACGCGATTTCGTCTCCTCGCGATTCTCCCGACATGCGCGATTTCATCGCCTCGCGATTTTCCCGACATGACATGTTACATTGCATGTCGATCACCTAGCATTCGCTTGTAATAGTTAGTCACGACTGCTGGTGTCGGAGAACCCTCACAACAATGCAGAATCAGCATGCAATGGACTCGTAATAGTTGTCCTGTTAAGAGAATCGTGAGGCAATGGACAAGTAACTTGTTTATTTTTGTAAATAATTAAAATAATTTTTAAAAATTTTTAAAAATTCTAATTAGCCTTGTAAAAAAAATTTTCTCGGTAGGGGTCGGGGACCCGCAAAAGTTCTTAGGAGCACCCCAAAAATTTTTTCGGAGTGCGTGGCTGACGCCACGCACCTTCTTTAGAAAAAATTTTTTGTCGCGCTCCCCCCCCCCCGAGCCGAAATCCTGGGTACGCCACTGCTAATCAGTAGTCTAAGGTTGTCAGTACACATGACCAAAATATCGCTAAATGACAGCCACTCATGATGAAGATATGAGTCAAACAATTTAGCTCAGCGTCTGTTGGCAGAACTTTCTTTACAGCCTAATATCATTGAATCTGAGGGGATCTACCTTGAGGTAAATTCTTTCTCAAGACACAGTCTATCTTCAAGCCGATTGGTGACCAATGTACAAGTGCATAAAGTTGCTTATTGCTGGTATTTAAGTACGGAGTCATGTGTTCTGTAAATCCACAGTTTAACTTTCTGAGAAGAAACTTTTAGACTACCCAGTATGTTTCAGAGACAAGTCTCGTCAAATTATGTTTTGTGCGGAACGCGGCGGTGTTTCATGATCATTTTCTAAGTGCATGATTAGGGCACGAGTTTTCAAAATTTTGTTCTTTCATAAGGTACAATTCAGGGTAGTTTAAGCGCACCTACCAGATGGTATTTCTTCTTACAAATTTTACCTTTTTCTGAAGAAAAAAATTGATTTGGGCACATCTCTCCAATACCTTCACCTACAAAAAAGGTACTTCATGGTACAATTTACCTCAAGATTTATTTTGGTATTTATCATTTCTCAGGGTTGGAATTTTTTCTAGCAAATTTTGTAGAATCTGTTGTTCGCCTACTTGGCAGTGTTCAAATGATTAGCCTATAAAATTTGATAGAAGAAGTTATCCTATAGGCCGTCCGCGCCGTGCTCGGAGTACAGCGCTATCGCGCCCACTGAAGATAATTCGTGACTGGAAGAGGCGCAGAGAAAACAAGCGGCGAGAGGGCACGAGGAAAGAGGAGGGGGCGCAGTACGCACCTTGCGTACTCTCCGCGCCCTGTGCGGATGGCCTATATTAACCTTGCTCCTAGCCGGGATCAAAAGTTGCATTGAGAATATTTTCAAGGGAAAGGCATAACTTGATCTGACAAAAACGGAAGAGTGCTGTGACTACCTTGTGATAGGGTTTTCCTCAAAGTAGGTTGCATTACCCTAAATCCTTCTCCTCAATCATGTAAGTACTTGTTTTCTGTTGTGAACAACTGAAATAATTTCGAAGGAGTCTGGAATTTAGATGAGCTTTCGGTCTAGAGTAACAAATTTTAGGCTTCCATTTTTTCGTCGCGTAACCACTTCCAACAGCGTCATTCGTGGCATTTATCAGCAGCTCATGAGCTCCATCCTCTTCCCATTCAAAATTCATAACTCTATAAAACTTGTTACTTGGACACGACTCGAAAGTGAGAGCAAATGGAAGTCATCCTTGCCTTTTTCCCCCACCCCGTCTCATAATTACTCATCTGTTTGTATTACATTTGCAGAGGTAGTGCATCGTTTATGATGTATTTTATAATAAATAAATAAGTAACCAGTGATGCAAGCCTCTTCACTTGAATTTCCATCCTACCCCTGTTTTCGAAAGCTAAATACTAGCAAGCTTCGGGTTGAAATTATTTTTGTAAGAGAAAGCAAGCAACTTGGCCTGTTTTTTGACTATTATCGGTTGATATGATCTGCGTTCGCAAAGAGGAGCAGCGCTTTGTTGATTGTTTTGTATGGTGGTCATTGTTTTGCATCGACAGATATGGCAAGCGAGCAAACGATAGCTACGCAGTAAGGAAGTTGTCTTTAAGTTTTTTCTCTTTTTTTCAGCTTCTGTTATTTTCCTCCAGAAAACATCACTTTGCCATTGCGGCAGATTTTCTGCTTGTTTTCTTCAATTGGTTAATAACGGTTCTAGCATTCATCTGACCACGCTACATACGTGTTCACCGCTCTTCATCTCTACCTTTTTTCTGCATTTGGACTTTTTCCAACAAACCATAGTTTTCTACTTATTGTTAGAGAGGTTGTATACAGTACCGTATTTGATAGGCCTGATACAAGTCCTGTAAACAAAAAAAATTGATGGATCATTGTTTGAAGGCTTTCGAGATAGATCGTACTTTGGCGTTATTCCCTCCTCGGCTACCTTTTCTCACAATGGTTACATGAGCAAAGACTGTTCTTGACCGGAAAGCCAAATTTAACACCTTTGTGACAGGCTCTGACAAGATTCGATCTAGTGAGTACAAGTAGTTAGTGTATGTTCCAATCTAAAATACTTTTTTGAATTAAGAAGTCCGCAATCCTACAGACATTTATAACCACCCCACTTCTGCATTTTACCTATACTGCTTTTACTACCTTTACCTTACCCTGCTTTTGTTTTCATCTTCGCCTCTTCGGCAGAAGCAAACAAAAGCTCACTTCTTTGACTTTCTAAGCTTCGTTTCCATGCTGAAAGTATGTAGAGAGACCATTTTGTATTTGGATACACAAGTACTAACAGCTAACAACACTAGAAATGTAGTCTGCCGTTTTGAAATTGTTTGTTTGAAAACGAAATTCTTTTATACTAGCGCACAATGAAAAAGTTAGGTTATCTCACTTCTTTCCTCCAATTCTTCTAGAGTCATAAATTTTGCTCAAATGGAATTTACATCTTAATTCTTCTTGAAGTGCTCTTTCCTACAAGGTTGTAAAGCTGTGGTAGTATTCGGAGTGAACAAGTTATATAATCACATAATTGCAGGGAACACACAACCGCTACAAGCAAAAATTTCATTTTTTTCTTGACTTCTCGCCATTACAAATGCAGCAAGTGTACGTATAAATATCTGGAAAAATATATGCGTGAGCGAGTGAAAAATTCGCAAGTCTTCTGAAGTATAATTTTTTAGAAAAAAGGATTTTTTTATTTTGACTTGAAAATCGATGCGGATCAACCTTGGTGCGGAATTTAAACGCCCTAAAATTTCTATTCCGGCCAGGGGAGGGTACAAGCTTTTTTTCGGGGCTAATTTGTATTTTTGGGAAATTCTAGAATTTGTTCCAATCACTTACATACAATTATAAACAAGTCATCTGCACATTCTTATGACCGATGTGAATATCTTTCAAATAGCAATTATTACAAGAACGTCACATCCCATGTGACAAAGATTTTTAGAAAATGGCTCGTCGTCAACGTTTCTGATCGTTTTCCGTTGTTTCACTTTTCTTAGACGGGTACCACCTACAGTCTTGACATTGATTACTTTTATTGGGTACATGAATATTTGCTGTTTAGATCGATCATGGACGCCTCCGAGCACGGAAGTAATACCGCGACTTCGTCCAACAACTCACCCAGTACTGGTGATCATACAAGAAAATTTGGACCGCAAACGACTGCGCTGGAGGTAGCATTTTGCGTTCAATTTATCAAAGGTTATTTGATCATAATGTAATTTTAGAGCATCGCAGATGTCGATCTCTCAGGTAAAACTATGCTTATCACTGGAACAACAGCAGGAATTGGTATGGAAACTGCTAGAGCGCTAGCGCTGAAGGGAGCTCATGTTGTGATGGCAAATAGGAACATTCTCAAGGCGGAAGAGTTGAAGAATGGGATAATTGCTGAAAAAGTAACATCATCTCATCAAAGAGATTTAGATGTAGTGCTGAGAGGCTTTGTTGGATAAAGGGCACCGTACCCTTTCATTATGAGCGGGGCCTACCCTTTGAGTTTACTGGCTTGGCGGCTGGAAGGCGGAGCTTCGTGACCTAATTAGGCTGGGTGATGAACAGAGAGCACGCACGCGAAGGAGACGCAGACTGCGTCACGGGGGCGAGCGGCCTTAACAAGGTCACAAAGCCCCGCCTTCAGCCGCCAAGCCAGTTGAATCAAAGGTTATACACCACAAATCTTTAGTGCTGACTTCAAAAAGAAAACTTTCTAGCCTGGTGCCAAAATTGATATGATCATGTGTGATCTGACTTCGCTACAATCAGTCCAAGCAGCGGCGAATGAGTTTAAAAGTAAGCAGTGGTAAGTGGTGTTATTCGGTGACCTTTGATCAGCTGTTCATTCTACCATTCTTAGGCCTCTCCATGCATTGATTCTCAATGCAGGCGTGTTCTTTCCCGAACAGAAGATGACTATCGATGGATTGGAGACTACATTTTGTGTAAATCATGTGTCTCACCAGTATCTTGTCCGTGAACTCCTTCCACTTCTGCGGCAGTCACAAGGAAGAATTGTCATCCTTTCTTCCAGCTCTCATAACCATACAGGAGTGAGTAAACGTCATTATATTTGATTGATGGCTTGCAGCGTTGATTGGAACAAATTCCCAAAAATTACTAGGCGGTAGTGGATGTTTTTAGTTTTTGCCAGCTCTTCATCGACTGTTGTCTGTTGAGAAATGTTTAGCCTTTGTTTTGAAAAAGGCATAAGTTCCTATTCCAGTGATGGTCTTTTTTTTTAGCTGAAACCAGACATGCCTTTAGAAGAGAAGTTGACAACTCTTTGCCCAACGGAGAGCGCGCAGTTCGGCTACCGGTAACATTTATCTTCTTCTCCTGTCGCGGTTAAATTCAGTATCTTGTAGGTACTATGCATATTCAAAACTTTGCAATGTTCTTATGGGTATGAAGCTCCATCGAGATGAAAATAAAAATGGAATCTCCGTGTACATTGTTCATCCCGGGAGGGTCAACACTGGTAAGTAACTTTGTTATGCTTGCTATCTGTAGAAAAGCTTGTGGGCTGTTAAACTCGTGCGGCTGCCCTAACTTACAAGGGAATGGTCAGAAGTCGAAGTGGCCAATCTATACAAGCTGCATACCATTCGATGCAGGTTGAAATGCTGATTTCAAATCTGTCTTCCATATCTGCAGAGCGCCTTTGTAGGCGAAGTTATGAGCAGCTTTACTGCGAAAAATCCGTATACAAAAATTGCGAAATTAGGCACATTATTGCCCTTTCAGCTCAACTCTACGTACGGGTCATATGAAGTGACCTATCTGCATGTTTTGGTCCAACACTGAGCCAAGAATGGCTTTGTACGGCCAAGTTTGCGCTTTACACGCACAATTTCCTAGCAAAATAATGGCCTTCAACGGCTTATAATTTCGTCCACAAAAGCGCTCTGCAGATAAGGAAGACAGATTTAGAGTCACCAATTTATGCTGCATCTACTGATATGCAGCTTGTATGGATTGGCCACTTCGACTTCTGACCATTCCCTTGTTAGGAACTTGTGAGATCTAACTTAACCCCGAAGGCTTGGGGACTGATTGCCAGAAATCCTCCATCAGACGATATTTAGGGTGTATGTCCTTCTGAACCGCTCCGTCCCAGCGCTAATTACCCTGCGCCAGAGCGGCGGTAATCACTTTGCCTTTGTTATAATCTAACAGAGTTTTTTGTATACTTCGGGGTATTTCAAAGCAAGCGAGTGACATTTTTTGGTCGATAATAGTGTCGATGTTTTATAAGAAGACAAAAATCGGGGAAGATTGAATTTTTTTACTCTCTATCTCGTAATTTCCTCTTCGCAGTTCTCCAAACCACCGCAAAATTTGCACATGTAAGCTGAAAATCTATGTAAGCCACCCAGCTAAATCTGATTCCCATGTTAGAACCCAAGTTCTTCTTTGATTCTTCTCTTTGAAAAAGTGCTTTTACCTAACTCGTCCAATGAGAGCGCCTGCGTCTCCAGTGATAGCCTAGCTCTCTCACGGCAGCGCCGACCAATCAGAGGCGCGCAGTAATCAGGCTGCTAAGGCTAGCGGTACAAAAGGTTCGTCTCCCGCGATATCTTGTATAGTCAAGTCAGAGCTAACACTGATCCACTGATAAGGTGTTCGCATTAATTTGTAGTTACCTGCCCGACCGATCATTTCCGTTGCGAGGTACCAGTCCAGCTCGGAATGTTTATAAACACAGGAAACCACAAATAATAAACATGTCATCAACTAGTTAATATATTCACATGTGCATGGATGAAAACAGACGTCACTAAGGCCGCCCTAGGCCCAAGGCATACCTCATGCGACTCCAGTTGCCACGCGGTATGGCTATTTGTCAGATGTCTTCAAATTCAATACTGGTACACTCCAAAGGCATAGCACGTATAACTTTCGTAGGTTGATTAAAAGGCCCGGTGTGAGGTATGTTCTCGGCCATATATTGTCCATGAAACGAATAGTTGGAATAGTTCCTTTATAGTTGGTCGTACTTGGAGACGTTGGGGCCAGACTTGCTGCGTTTGCTACAATTTACTGAGTCTGGGTGTGCATGCATTTGAGACCCGGGCATAATTAATCTGTAGACATCTGGCATATCGCCACGTCGCGTGAAGGTAGCGATTTCGCGAAATCGCGGGAGGTACAGTCGAGTAGATTTCCTGCTTAATATAGTGTCCCTGCAGACGGGACAACGCTGGGGCGTCAATAAATGCCTTGCGAGTTCCCGAGCTAGTGTTTTCTAGTGTTTTCCTTGCTTATTTCATGCTTTTTAGTCGATTCGTCGCTGATAAAGAGGAAAAGGGTGAGTTAAAGAGTAGTTTCTGTTTTCTGAGAAGTTCTACCATCGCATCAAAGATATCCCCATGGAAGCATTTCGCGTCAGCTTCTTGTCTATTTTTTTGTCATTTCCTTTTCTTCTGTCACTTCTTCTTTCAAACCTCATCCTTCTTGTGAGGCGTTTCTTTGAACGCTAGTTGGCTTGTCTTGCAGCAACTTCGGCTTTCATCCACAAAAAATAGCATTTTAATTAAGTACTTCATGTGATAAAGACAATTAGTCAATCGTAAAAACCCACTAGCATTCAAAGAAGTACCTCACAAAAAGAAAGAGAGATGAAATGAAAAAAAGATAGACAAGAAGCTGACGCGAACTGCTTCCATGTGGATATCCGTGATTATGCGACGATAGAACTTCTCAGAAAACAAAAATTACTCTCTAACTTACCCTTTTCTTCTTTATCAGCGACGAATCACCTAAAAAGCATAGAATAAGCAAAGAATACACTGGAAAACACTAGCGGAAACTCGTCAGGCAATTATTGACGCCCCAGCGTTGTCGCGTCTGCAGGGACACTATATTAAGCAGGAAATCTACTCGACTGTATGCTTTAGGCCTTAGGTATGACGTAGCGGCTTGATTGGACTAGCCGAATTTAGAAAAAAGTAAGCGCTTTCTTACTCGTTAAAATAGGATTTGCATTTTGCCATATGTCAGAGTGTTACATGTCAATATTTCAGATGCAGCTCGAAGTTTTGGTGTCTTCATGAAAATTGTAAAATTCGTCACGCATCCTTTCACAAAATCATTGGAGCAAGGAGCTGCTACTACCGTTTACTGCGCTGCATCTCCAGATGTTTCTGATGTTAGAGATCACTTTTCACCTGTATGACACCATCTCGCAGCACTGTCTTAGGTTAGCGGTAAATACTGGGAGGAATGCTGGCACGATGAGAAAAATCTGAGCACGCAATTGGCTCACGACATGGAACTCCAGGATGCATTGTGGAAGAAGACCAATGAAATATTGGACAAGTACGAGGCCACTCGTCGGCAGTGACTTGCTGTGCAATAGCATCTTCACCATTAAGAATATGTAAATTTTATATAGGTTATCAAAAACATAATAAATGTACGATTAAACTGCTGTCACAACGTGTAACTCCCTTTGATACGGAGTATTTAACGGCTTTTTACCTCTTGCACATGCTTCTTCCCGCAAGAATTATGCATACGCGTGGAAAAAATTATTGTTCCGACGCAACATGAGTTGAGGAATACCGTATTTAAGAGCGTAATTTTCGGGTGTATTGGGACGGCCGTCAACTCTGCGCGAAATTTTTCCGAAGCGATACCGCAACGCTCGTTATTATGTGTTATACTTTTTGCACGATTGAATGTGCTTCGCCTTTCTTTGCCATGGTCAAAAGTGCTGCAAAAGAGGGGGATCTCTTCATCAATCCTGTGAACAACGAAGTAGTGCTGTACGCACATGGTAAGCTCCTCTTTCATCCAGCAACAAAACGCAAAAATCAGTACAGCTATACATAGTCGCCCTACTGGAGAATCGGTCTTGAGGTTTTCTGGTATGTTCTTTCCGAATATGTTAGCGGTTCTGCTCATATTTCCAAAATTGCTTTACTTTAGGATTACAAGCCAATCTGCAAAAATTGGTATTGTGTGGCCTCAAGAACGCTCTGTCTGATATGTTAATAGCATTGCAAGGAAGTTTGACAGGGGCATACTACGCAGTGATCTGATATGCACTGTCGGTCGTAAAGCTTGTTTCTAACGAGCTGCTTCTTGAGATTGTCATTTGGATATCAATAAAAGATAAATTGTATGTACTACACTTTCACTCCGTTTCGTTCCTTCCCTTAGACGGAGTTTGACTTGATTACTGGGTCTTCCCCGGAACTCCTCATTAAGGAAGGAAGGCCCAGCATCAAGTAGAAAATTCGTATTTAGAAAACTTTTATTATGGTCAATTACAATATATAAAATTTGGCTTACTTTTTCATTGCGTTGCTCCTACTATGAAGTTTACTTCATTCTCTAGTTGCGCTCGAATTATGCACTGACGAAAGGCAGAATCAATTTTGTCCGAGAAAAACGGAAGACACAATGGAAGCTTTTCTAATGTTGTTGCTGAGGTCATTGCATTGAGAAGTTGTATGGTGCAATAAATACCCGTTGTTGCATGCTATCTTCAACGCTAAGTTTCGCGATTCGTGGCGTTCATCCTCGCCGGAGCACACCTTTGCAGCTGTTCTAAACATATTTCCGACTACTGCCCTTTTCACGTGTATGGAATGTGGTGATCTTGCATTTATGAGGATGTTTTTGCTGCTCTTCTTGCGGTACCATTTCATTCTTAGAATGCCTTTGGATAAATTGAGTTGCGTGTTTAAAAATGGCATCCAACCGTTCCGTGGTTGTTCGCGCGTGAATCTGATGTATTGCGACTGCTGATTCAATATCGTAAAACACTCATCCATCTCAGTCTGCGTTGCAGTTACTAGACAACAGTCGTCAATGTAGCGGCAATACATAAGAGGCATTCGTCTTAACACTGATTCCTCAACAGATAGCGAGGATCGGTGCCAATCTTTGACCCATGGCTAGTCCACGTATCTGGGAATAATAATATCCAGACCACTTAAAGATACTAAAGTCCAAACATTCGTTAACTAGGGTCATTACTCGCACTCTGTTGAGGCCAAACATGTCAATCGAACCCAGCGTATTTGACTAACAAGTCCGATAATGCTTGCAGAGCCTGATCGTTTTGTACATTAGTGTGAAGACAGGTCACGTCAAAGGATTCTATCACACTATGCGCATCAAGCTTGGTATTTCGGATTCGTTCGACAAATTTCATCGTATTTGACAGATGAGCTGGTATTTTTGTTAGCAGCTGAGTCACGAATTAGTTCAAAAACCACGAATCGGGTCAGTAGGGCCTCCTACGCAGCTAATAACGGGTTTGATCCTATACGTTCCCGCCGACATCGATTGTACATCTTGCAACGAGAGCTTATGTGTTTTGATCAAGCTGTAAAAGACTGGGCAAGTTGGACCTTTCTACTTTCAATCTAGTGATAAATCTGAAGTCCGGCAGATTTTCCTGCTGCAGTCCATACATCGTTAAGTCTTCTGGCTTGCGCATGAAACTCTTTCTCAGATGCTGGTCTGTATAACGAAGGTCTGCGAGATGCACTAATGCAATTTGTCGATCTAGGCTTTGCCGTATTATCACAAAGTCTCCACCTTTGTCACTAATAGAAAGACCTGAGCCGTATGCCATTAGTTCGCGCACTTGCTTAAAACATTGCCATTGTTTCAATGTTAGATTCCTCTGCTGTTGTTGTCTGAACTTGTTCAAAATTTCAAGTATGCCAGAGGATAAGATGCGGAACTTAACGTTGACATCTCTTACGGGCTCAGGCTGCCTATAAAATAAGCCAGGAAATGGGATTGTTGGTAATAACTCTCATGCGCAGACATTTGTAGATAGTCGTTTTTTGCTCTAGTTCTGAGAGTCTCGAAGTTTATGTGTATACTAGCTGGCTTACCCGGCTCCGCCCGGCCCTATCAAAAACGATAAAGGTTCCATTTCTATCCCTGCACAACTTTACCTGTGCCCACTTCTACATGCAATTCCCTATTCCCTTTGTGTGTGTAATTAGTATGCTCACCTACCTTCCTCACCACCTCCCAGTCCCGTAGCTCAAACTTTGCAAATAAAACAACAATAAAATCGACAAAAGTAAGGATAATTCTAAAAACTGATGGCGTTACTCGGCTATCCGGGCCCTAAAATGTTTTTGTGGTGTGTCTTGCTCAAACTCGGTATATGAGAGTTATTCAAGCCGCTGATGACGAATATGGTAGTCATTTCGCGTGGCAGCAGGTAAAAAATCATGAACCTGCCTGGCAACCTTGGCAGGGAATTACCTAAAATGCTGTTTCAAGAATATCGTGCTTAATCATCATGATAATGGCAATTCGTGTGGTATAAAAGTTTCCCACGACCGTAATGCTTTCCTTATAGGACCACTGCCGCGCGCGATACACCCTTCGGCGGCTTTTGCCTAAGCAAAAACAGGGGGAGGGAGACTTGTCGCGTGCGTTACGCGTTGGGACAGGTTATCAGGATGGCGCTGGAGACCGCCATGCAAAACGACTGTTTCCCCATTTCGTGAATATCTGGGATCTAAATTGGCCCGAAAGCGAAAAAATGTCCATTCAAACCTTGCAACTCACCATAACTTCACTAATGCGTTATGACAGCGGCAAGCATCATATTCATAAGCAGTATACTTGTGAACCGTTACAGGTAAGGTTTTGAGCAAATCTGGAACTTCGACCCATCTACACACACCGTAACCCAAGAAAATGCACTATCCTGCGAAATCAGCATGATATGCATGTTCAGCGCGCTAAATGGCCACCCTAGATGAAGTTCAAAGCAAATCTATGTTTTTGATCCCATGCCGTATAACCCCCATAACTCTATGAAAAGGTCCCAATATGCAGAGAGAGTATGAAATTCGTAATCAGATGTCGAATAAGTTCTCTGGACCGAACTCCAGCCTGATTCATGATTTCGACTTCCTACCGTACATCTACCGTAACCACACGGGGAGACGTTCTGCGTGGAAGGTGTGATATCTGTAATCAGCATGTAAGATAACCCTTATACACGAAGTTTGAGCAAGCTCTACGACAAAAAAAATTTTGGGGCCCGGATAGCTGAATAGCGCCAAACTAATATTGCACTCGTAATCAGCATGCTCGATTACCCCCCTGTGCCAACTCCCAGCCCCGTAGCTCGAATTTTGCAAAAAATCGGTAAAATCGATATCGATCGATGACCAAAAGTAGCCTACAACACCCGCCCCGCCCCAAAGTGCATGGGTGCCAAGTTTGGTCCGGATCGGTTCAGAAATGGAATTTTCCATTCGGAACATACGTACACACATACAGACAGACAGACAGACATACAGACATACAGACATACAGACATACAGACATGCAGACATACAGACATACAGACATACAGACATACAAACATACAGACATACAAACATACAGACATACAGACATACAGACATACAGACATACAGACATACAGACATACAGACATACAGACAAACAGACAGACAGACATACAGACATACAGACATACAGACAGACAGACAGACAGACATACAGACATACAGACATACAGACATACAGACAGACAGACAGATATACATACATACAGACAGACAGACAAACAGACATTCAGCTTTATATATAAGATGTTTACCCAATGCATATACCATATACAATGTGTGATGCAAAAATTCAACAATTTGTCTCGGTCTATTAGAACCTGACAAAAAAGGTTATAAAACATTTTTCAGAATACGCCAAAAATTCTTCAAATCCAGACTTCGCCAAAAAATCAAAATTGTTGTAAATTTAAATGATCAGTGCACTCTTTCAATACGTTTGATCGTGGCATTAGGACTCGAATTATTTTAGGAAGGCTGTTTTGCAATCAGCGCACTCGCTTATCCCTTACCGAAATCCAGTCCCAGATGACAGGAGAAATATTTTGATGCGAGAAAAAGAAATAAAAATTACCTTGTTTGAATCAGCAAAACCAAGTACCAGTTTACATCCTTCTAGTCCAAGGGTTCAAAAAACAAAGTACTGAATATTCTCACAAACAGTTACTACATTTGTAATTAGGATGCTCAGTTACCTCCCTGTGCCAACTCCCAGTCCCGCAGCTTGAACTTTGCAAAAAATCCGATAAAATCGATAAAAGTAATCGATAATCCTAAAAACTAATATTGTATTCGTAATCAGCATGCTCGATTACCCCCCTGTGCAAACTCCCAGCCCCGCATGTCAAAATTTACATAAATATCGATAAAATCGATAAAAGTAATCGATAATTCTGAAAACTAATATTGTATTCGGTGCAAACTCCCAGCCCGCAGGTCAAACTTTACAAAAGAATCGATAAAATCGATAAAAGTAATCGATAATTCTGAAAACTAATATTGTATTCAGAATCCCCATGCTCACTTACCCCCCTGTGCCAACTCCCAGCCCCGTAGGTGAACTCTGCAAAGGAATCGATAAAAATCGACAAAATCGATATCGATCGATGATGAAAAGTAGCCTATGACACCCGCGCCCGAAGTGTATGTGTGCCAAGTTTGGTCCGGATCGGTTCAGAAATGGAATTTTCTATTCGGAACATACGCACAGACAGACATACAGACAGATATACAGACAGACATACATACAAACAGACATCCACCTTTATATACAAGATGTATGTCTATGTCAAAAACATCCTCATAAATGCAAGATCAGCACATCCCATACACGTGAAAAGGGCAGTAGTCGGAAATATGTTTAGAACAGCTGCAAAGGTGTTCCGACGAGGATGAACGCCATAAATCGCGAAACTTAGCGTTGAAGATAGCATGCAACAACGGGTATTCATTGCACCGTACAACTTCTCAATGCAATGACCTCAGCAACAACATTAGAAACAAGCTTCCATTGTGTCTTCCGTTTTTCTCGGACAAAATTGATTCTGCCTTTCGTCAGTGCATAATTCGAGCGCAACTAGAGAATGAAGTAAACTTCATAGTAGGAGCAACGCAATGAAAAAGTAAGCCAAATTTTATATATTGTAATTGACCATAATAAAAGTTTTCTAAATACAAATTTTCTGCTTGATGCTGGGCCTTCCTTCCTTAATGAGGAGTTCCGGGGAAGACCCAGTAATCAAGTCAAACTCCGTCTAAGGGAAGGAACGAAACGGAGTGAAAGTGTAGTACATATAATTTATCTTTTATTGATATCCAAATGACAATCTCAAGAAGCAGCTCGTTAGAAACAGGCTTTACGACCGAGAGTGCAAATCAGATCACTGTGTAGCAGTGGCGTACCCAGGATTTCGGCTCGGGGGGGGGGGGGGCGCGACAAAATTTTTTTTCTAATGAAGGTGCGTGGCGTTAGCCACGCACTCCGAAAAGATTTTTGGGGTGCTTCTCAAAATTTTTGCGGGTCTCCGACCCCTAAAATCTGGAAAAAGGGGGCGTGGCGTCAGCCACGCTTCCAAAAAATTTTTTATAAGGCTAAAATGAATTTTTAAAAATTTTTAAAAATTATTTTAATTATTTACAAGTGCAGACAAGTCATTTGCACAATTTTATAACCCATGTAAGTAACTTTCAAAAATTTCGCGACCCGTTCTGGGGGGGGGGGGGCGCGCCCCCCCCCCCCCCGCCCCTCCTCGGTACGCCACTGCTGTGTAGTATGATCCGCACAGAAGAATAGGCGACTGCGCAAAAGCGGGAGTCGTATATCAAATACAACGCCTCAGCTGCAGAGCTCCTTACATTGGTGAGACTGGACGAATCATAAGCGTTCGCATAAAAGAGCATATGGCAAGTAAAAGACGGCGAAGTCTAGTAACACCGCTTGGTAGGCACAAACGAAGTTCATGACGGAAACGATTTTGAAATCAGATGTACGATCTTGCCTTGCGAGAAAGAGATCTTCGCTCGAAAGGCGCTAGAGGCTTTCTGGATCTCTCCCAGAGACCAGAAATGAACAATAAGAATGAGTGTCGATAACAGCAGACTTCTTACCCTTCGTATCCTTATGCGAGCTATAAAGTGTAGATAAAATGTACCATGCACTCTACTGTATAGCTCAGTCGTCTGCCACGTCAGTCACTTCCGGCGGACATCACATATAGCGGTGTGCAAAGGTAGGTCCATTTCCGTGTCGCCATTTTCGTGGAGTGTATTTGGAACAACGACGAAATTAGCAAGATTTTGATGGAACACTTGCTGGCATGGTGTTGCTGATTATGCTTTGAACCAGGCCTCTGAGGAAGACGAACCCGTTGAAACGTAAGGCCGATTGAATAAAGCTGCCAACATAACAAACCTTGTATGGCACAAAAAAATTGAAAAATTACAAGAATGCCAAGGTTCAAAGGACATGGAACATGGAAATTACTAAGTAAAACTTTTTCAGAACTTTATGAACGTGCATAAAGGAAAACAATGCTTGCAATTTTACAACGTCGCAGAAATAGTCAAGGATTTCGTGATTTCTAGAGCACAAAAGAGTAGACATATGTACTGACTATGACATCAATAAATAGAGTTTACAATATCGTAGTAAGCATCATGAAGGCCTATAGTAGCATAGTGAAGTCTATCATTTTCGTAATTAACTTCTTTCATCGACATGAAAACTGTTATCACAACCACTCCAATAAAGAAAAATGTTGTCGCCTTTGATGACATTTCACGATAGAATCTGGCAATATGGAAGTGAACAAGCAATGCGATACCAGTTGTGATGCATATGCCCAGTTCGGCCGCTGAAACTGGAGAAGTTTGGTTTTTGGTAAATTCGTTCTCGAGACTGTTCTCGTAATGAGTGCGCATAAAGGCAGTGTCCAGGCGGGTGGAGGACTATATGTCGCCGAGCGTGGTAGGGCCGTGCGGATTTCCTGCAGGAACAATTCTCCGTGCATGTGCAAGGCGTATTTGTCGCAAGTGACCGCGGGGCGCGCCCTTTTAGGCGACACATAGTCCCCTACCCTGTCCAGGCAAATCTGGGCACATGGGTTTTTCGCCTGGAAACGGATCAGGGGGTCCTAGCTGTCCTAGCTAAGGCACTGCCCAAGTGGCAGTGCAAATGATTCATTCCGGGAAGATTTCGTTCCCAAACTCACCTCGCCGGTGCCGTGACCGTAACCCGGAAATGACTTTGCTCACATTAATACTACGTTTGCGCTGGGACCCATCCTAAGTCACTCGCGAGTAGTTATGGTCATGGCGCAGGCGCGGAGGGTATGTGGACGGATTTCTCAGCCCTGAATGAATCATTTGCGCTGCCGCTTGGGCAGTGCCTTAGTTAGGACCCCTTTATCGGTTTCCAGGCGGAATACTCATGTGCCCAGATTTGCCTAAACGCTGGGAATTTGCTACTACGGTACTGTGTACCACTAGGCGTTGAGTTCAGGATTACTTATTGCATCACACAATAATGCATATTGCATTACATAGATATCTGCATTTTCGTCCAATCAGCTCATAACACCAACCCTGCGCAAGTTTTGAGATCTATTCTTACAAAATCTTTGTACTCAGAGTCCCTGTTTCAGAACATCAATGAATAAAGATTTGCTGTTGCTCCTTCATACAGGGTCGGGGGAAGTCCTTGAATAAGATATCTTATCGTAATTACGAAATTAGTCATGCTGATTACACACCACATCTTTTGAAGGTTAAAGTTCTATTAGCTTGGAATAGCCATTCGAGGATATCACAGACTACATAGTTAGCGATCTCTCAAAGTCCCCCCCCCCTTCTCGTTCGCCCACGGTCTCTGACGGATCCGTCCGCCCTGGGTAAGTTGGTCGGCCAAGCCCTGGTAATTTCTGGCCTTATGACCGTGTCCGAGTAAGGGAAAAGGATCTCGACAGAGCCCCACTCACTTTTTGGAGAAGGAGAATGACCTGATCAATTTAATTGGGACAAAGTTCCGACCCCATTTTTTGTTTGTGTTTTTCCTTTTCATTCTCTGTTTTGGTGCACCCCTGTGTCTTAAAGGCAGCGTCCAGGCAGATCTGGACCTATGGGGCTTTTACGTGGAAACTACTTTTGGGGCCCTAACTAAGGCACTGCCCAAGCGGCAGCTCAGGTAGTGCTGTAATGGCTGAGGTATTCCCCTCTAAACTGGCCCCCGCGACCGTGTTTCGCATGGATTCATGGCGCAAAGCGTGGATCCTGGCGCGAAACTGCCATGAATCCATGCGAATACGTTCGCGGGGGCCAGCTTCGAGGGGAATACCTCAGCCATTAGAGCACTACCTGAGTTGCCGCTTGGGCAGTGCCTTAGTTAGGGCCCCAAAAGTACTTTCCACGTAAAAGCCCCATAGGTCCAGATCTGCCTGGACGCTGCCTTTAAATAAATAAATAAATAAATAACGATAAATGATAAAGGATTCTCGTCACCACAATATGCGGACATGCACCGTACCCACTCTACTTCATTGTCTAGGAGGCTAGTGAATGCATGCGAGCTTTTCACAGTAACTTGTGGGGCCAGTTGATTGCCACGTCAGTCTTTTATCCTCTCAGAGTACTCTGGTACCAATTTGGCGGCTCTGGAGAGTGGAGAACCTGGTTGCCCAGGTGCGGGATCAGATATAATTGGGTTCGATCTGATCATAAGGCGCCTCATACCACTCGCTACTCTTCATGTTACACCTATAGACCAAGACTGTTCACTTAACTCAAAGATTCTTTTGCCCAAAGGCTGGCACACAGACTTTGAGAAAGTTTTCCATTGTGGCACGGAGGTTTACCATGTTATTTTCTCCTCCTGTATTTTGAAAATCGCGTTTCAAGACTCTACTCTTACGACGGCCAGCGCAGCTGTGCTAAGAAGACGTTAGCCAAGGGGTATTCATCCCCTATTCACCGAGTACGGAGGGCGAGCGAAGCCTTTAGTTGGTTCGGAGCCATGCTCGAACAAGTTTCACCTTGTGTGCGGGTGGTATCCTGTTGGAAGCAGGAATCTTTCTCGGCAAACGGCTATCGGATGAGCCAGAGTCAGCCAGCCTCATCAGTGTTATCCAAGAATGTAGCAAACATTTTAGTGTCCCGGCACAAAAATCAGCGGTATCTCGCCTTCGGAAGTACTCGCCACCTAACCATCTCGAAAATCAGATAACGTTTTTCGAGTCCACTGTTCTCAACGTGTCGGATTAATTCCGAGGTTATCCTTGAATTTCTTGCTTTTGCGGACAAACCTCCATGGTGATAACTCTTCAGTCTAAAAAGGTATGATCTGGTGACGCACCCTGAAGAAGCGTCAGGCAGTCACGGCATACCTGAGGTTGGGTCAGCTTTAACTTGTCCTGGATAGCCGGAGTCTTTGCATCTTGCAAAGCTTCATTTCAAGGTTCTGTTATATGATGTCGGAGATGGTCTGTCTTTGGTGGAGAGCTCTTAAACAGTTCCAATCCTTCTGAGAACTCGTTGAATGTTGTTGGATAATTTTCCGGGTGTGAGTGTAGGCAACAGCCGCGTTACCGCTCCTGTGACAGTCCCGGGTGCTATTCGTATCCTGGAAACGAAGGTGAACCGTTTAGTCTATGTTGAGAATTGGCTCGATCCTGGTTGGCATTTTCCTCTTCGACAGGAAAGAAATTATAGATCTGTAATAGTTTTAGAAGGGCTTTTGCACACAATATGGCATTCAAATACATTTAATAAACATACAAGAACATATAGGATAGACCGGTTACAATGACATAAAAATTTGTTCAAGGAATTTTTCCCAACCCTTTACATTGGTCATTTTTTGGTGCAAAGCTTGCTCGCAAGTAAAATTTTTCGTTTTCTGATCTCTCGTTTTGCGCAGAAAGTATATGCTAAGTGACTCACATTTGGAAAAGATATCGCTATTATATTTTGCAATACAGTGCAACGGCCAGTGTGTTAAATACAACACATAAGAAATGTCTCCCAAAAATACTGCTGCCCGATTTGTGAGGAACATAAAGCCCTAAAAGGAGTCGTATTCTCTGTGGAGAAAATGGTAATGAAATCGAGCCACAAACCTCTTCCTTCTGTCCAGCATAGAGGAGCAATGCAGACGCTGCTGTGATATAAAGCCTGAGATCGAATGTGGGAAAGCGGAACCACATTACCGGTATAAGCAAAGGTAGTAGAAAAACTGGATGCCGGAGAAATGAGCGGATATAAGCAGGCCAACTGAGGTTAGCTGAAATCGCAAGCCAGTCTTTTTTACAAGAGGTGATGCACAAGCTGCAGTCAGGGTTGTAGTACGTGAAACCTGCAAAAATCTAGAAACGGTGAGTGTTTCGTGCGCCGACGCTGTGCCAGCGCACGAGAAACTCTGGATCTTTGCCCTTTCTAGAGTTTTGCACCGTGTACCGTCGCCGTGCCCCCCCCCCCCCCCTTCCACCCCCATGAACGCGACCTTTATTGATCGGTCGATTTTACGGCGTGGCAGCAGAACAGGCTGGCACGGAGACTGAACGCACTTAAGAAGGGACTTATTTTTACTATCGCCATCCTCCCTTACTGAAGAGTTTTGGGGATGGCACAGAAACAATATTCCGTCTAAGGATAGGAACGAAACGGAGTTTTCAAAATCATTATAATTATAATTACAAACATCTTATATATAAAGCTGAATGTCTGTTTGTCTGTATGTCTGTATGTCTGTATGTCCGTCTGTCTGTCTGTCTGTGTACGTATGTTCCGAATAGAAAATTCCATTTCTGAACCGATCCGGACCAAACTTGGCACACATACACTTCGGGCCCCGGGTGTCATAGGCTACTTGTCGTCATCGATCGATATCGATTTTATCGATTTTTATCGATTTTTTTTGCAGAGTTCACCTATACGGGGCTGGGAGTTGGCACAGGGGGGTAAGTGAGCATGGGGATTCCGAATACAATATTAGTTTTCAGAATTATCGATTACTTTTATCGATTTTATCGATTTTTTTGTAAAGTTTGACCTGCGGGCTGGGAGTTTGCACCGAATACAATATTAATTTTCAGAATTATCGATTACTTTTATCGATTTTATCGACTTTTTTGCCAAGTTTGAGCTACGGGGCTGGGAGTTTGCACAGGGGGGTAATCGAGCATGCTGATTACGAATACAATATTAGTTTTTAGGACTATCGATTACTTTTATCGATTTTATCGAATTTTTTGCAAAGTTCAAGCTGCGGGACTGGGAGTTGGCACAGGGGGGTAATCGAGCATGCTGATTACGAATACAATATTAGTTTTTAAAATCGTCCATTGCTTTTATCGATTTTATCGATTTTTCGCAAAGTTTGAGCTACAGGGCTGGGGCACAGGAGGGGTAAGTGGGCATGCTGATTTCGAAAACAACACAGGGAACGGGAACTGAAGTGTAGAAGTGGGCACAGGGAAAGGATGTACAGGGATAGGGATGGGACCTTTATTACAGTGCTTTCACAGGGCCGGGCGGAGCCGTGTAAGCAAGCTAGTCATTTGATATTATTGTAGGCTCTTGCAATGCTGCTCCAGTGGAAGCCCTCAGCCTGGGGTTCACTTTGTCGTTGGCTATAATAAATCATTTTAATACCTTCGCTGCGCTCTGTATGCCTATCTCCGCTGTCGAGTAGGCCGACTCTTTCGAGTTTATCATCATATTGTTTTAGCAGGACTTCTTCCTCTGGACTTGGTGCGAGGCACTGTTCCTGAACAGGTTTGCTCATATGTTCAGATTCAGAATTTTTCTCTCCTCTTTTTCCTCCAAAAGCAGAGCAATGCCCACTTTGGGGAGGTATAGTGCTGCAATGACTCCTGCGCAGAACTGCCAAAGGCGACCTTGTAACCAGTAAGCTCCTATCATATTTCGTGCATATAGATAAATCAACAACGAAAACGCAGATACTCCTGAAATGCTCTGGAACTAATAGATAAGTGAAAATATGATTTACCTGCGAAGAAGGCCTTCTCTTTATCTGTGACCATCCTCTGCAGCCGGAACAGTAATGGAGCTGCCAAATACCATTGCATTATCAGCGATGGTAACCACAAATGACCAAAGGCATCTTCAAGCGGTGGGAGCTGATATCGAATATATTTTTGGGTACTTTTCCGTTATCCGGACCCATTTTTTCAAAAAAGCATATTGCTTCTTCCCTCGTACCATATTTGGTCCCGACTTCACAGGAAGGAGTGTCAACCTTCTGCCACGCGTCAAAAAAATTTGACATGTCATTTACATGTTTAACAGGTTTATCCAAGAGTTTGAGTTGCCCTACCTAGCGACGTAAGTTCAATCCCTTTATTGGTCAATAGTGACCCCATTTTGGATTAAACTATCAAAAATGAGCATTGATATCATAATAACGTCATTCTGTTACTAATTGAACAGATTAGGCTTGCCAAGAGTAGAGAGGTGGACTAGGATCCCATCATCTAAATGACAAAACAAGCAATAGCAAGGAACTTTAAGCCATCATAGTCTGGTTAAATTCGCAAGACGAAAAGTTTGAAGAAAAAGACAGTGCTGAATCGTTGCTGAAAGCGATCAAGATGTTCTGATATAAATTTCAGATTGTTTTGCTCTCAGAAAAACCAATTAAACAGCTTTTAGGTGATCACAAATGCTCTTTTACCTCACCGGAAGTGATTTCGAAAAAAACATGTCAAAATGGACCAAAACGTGTTAATATTTTTCTGACACGTGGCAGGAAAGCAGTCTTCGTGAAATCCATAAAAAATTGTTCTTAGACTGAATAACGTATTTTATGAGAGCTTTTTGAAAAAATGGGTCCGGATAACGGAAAAGTACCTATTTTTGTATTATGATCTTGTTATGTAAAGTTTACAGAAGGACAAATGCGTAAGTGCAATATTGACCGAGCTCCGAACGCGGCGCAGGCGATTACTCTACGACTCCCATGCGGCCTGCGATTAACAAAGTGCGCAGGATCGAAGTGGCCGACTGAGGTTCGGTATATGCTTGGACTTTGGGGCTTGGGAGGTTAGAACTAAATGTGCACTCATTAGTTGCGATGCGTTATACTAGAGCAAGATAAGGGCAGTGTGACGGCAGATTTCGCATTTTCATCTTTTTTCATGTTTTGGGCCTTTTCGACCCGTAGACCCCGAATTTGAGCTTTAAAATGGGTGAAAGGACCTTTTTTGGGGCGTTTACCCAATTTTTGAAAAGCAGCTCGGACGAGAATTTTAATGGAAAGTTGGGAGGCCTGGCACGAAGACCCTGCTGCCTTTAAAAATGCGAGAGAGCGGTCGTGGGGTCCCGCGCCGAACGGTAAGCGAATGTCCGCGCGCACGCCAATTGGGATTGCGCGCACCCGGTTCGAGGGCTGTCTGCACTGGAGGCCAGTGGGATGACCGGGAAGCCCACCATAGCAATATCCCTCAGGGCGCGAATCTGCCGGGCACTGCCTTTGAACCCATCTCATTTTTTGGCGCATGCATGTCTAGCAAACGCATGACTTTTGAAAACGTATTTGCGTGGTGTAGTGGGTCAGAGTTTCGAACTCAGATGAGGCTTCGAATCCTGTTGGTACGTTTTTTGTGTTCTTCTCCAGATCTATTTTCCTGTTCCATATCTCTTAGGGCAAAATGGCACATACGACTGATCAAGCTCCACTAATTTTGAATTCTGCCTTATCATTCTCACAATGAGCCTAATAGTGAAAATAACTAGGACTTGTACAGCTTGGAGATTGTCACGTAAATACTATGTGCAACCGAAGATAATATTTGGCAAAGAGAATTTGGCCAATCATTAAAATCATTTAACAAACCGTCGCTCAAAAGTCGTTGTTATGTTCAGTCCAAAGTTGGTTTTAGCATATCTGTTAAAGAAGTTCGGCTCTTACGACATTATACGTAGCCATGGCAGAAAGTTTGCTCGGAAATTTTGAATAATGAAACCCTTGGTAGAACTAATTATCACAGAAATCATTTAAGCCATATGCGTCAATTTTTGCCCAAAATAACATGAAAGAGGTAGCAAAAAACGTAGACAATAAAAATTCGATTCTCTAGTCAAGACCCTGACTACTACCGGACTTCCCTTCTGAGGCATGCGCCATTTGACTTAATTCACTTGACCCACTTGATCCACTTTGTTATTGGTCAAATAAGTAAATTGACCAATAGCAAAGAGGATGTCCACTTAACCCACTTGTTTGCTCTTTTTACAATCTCTTCGCTCTCTCCGACAGGGAGCATACGCAGCGCAACCACTAGCTCTGCGAGCGCGCAAACTTACGCAAAGGCTCGGCCTGTCCCTTATTGGGACAGACTGCAAAATGTAGTCTGTGTCACTCACGTACCCCTTCTTCCATCGGCGAAGCGCCACAGAGTCGTGCCACGTGCGCATGCGTATGGTTTGGGCATTGGGTTGGCTTCATCGCTTGGAGCTCCGCGTGCAAGCCTATCGCGTTGCGTTGCTATGCGTAGCATCTATGCAAAAAGCGACTATCTATTTGACATAAAGTGTTAGTTTGGCACCCGCCATACTTGATCCTCTTGATCCGCTGGATCCGCTTGATCCGCTTCGTGCAAAACGCGCGCACATAGCAGTTTGTCATTTGACGCCGCGTATGTAAGAAAGAATTCTGTATGGTTACGGCAAATTCGCTGTACGCGACTCCAAATGACAAATTAGTGGCGCGCGTTTTGCACGAAGCGGATCAAGCGGGTCAAGTGGATCAAGCGGATCAAGAGGATCAAGTATGGGGGGCCTTTATTCGAGCCCCATGGGATACGCATTTATGAAGGCTAACTCAAAGACGTTGCGCCTAGCGCACTGATGATGTGACTGCTATTCAGAAGAGATTCACATGATGCTTTGAGCCTCTATAAGAACGTACCATTATGGAATAACGGTTTTCAAAGCATGTAAGCTTTATATTCGAAATCAGCAACAATGCCGTTTTCGATCGTTCCAGATTCATTTGCTGATAACTAACGGGGAAACATATATAACATAGCAATAGTATCAGAAATACCGCTACGTAGTAGACTGATAGAAGGCGTTTTGCTCTGCAAAATGGCTGCAGTTTCAAATTTTATGTTTGAATATCACTGAGAAGATTTGATGAGTCTATATAGGATTCCGCCTAAATTATTTCTATCAAATTGTATAGCACATAAAACTGCAGGAAGATAGGGCATGCTTTGTATTAGGTGAAAGCCCTTAATTGAACATCATATGTTTATGAGATGCATATTATATTGAAGAGCATAAAATGCTGATCCAAATTTCCCTTCCTATGACCGTTTTGAAGCAAGGAAGGAAATTGCATCTAATTGTAAGATAAAATGAGTTGCTAAAATCTTCCTAGCCCTCACTTCAAGCAACCAGTGACTTATTTTTTTATTTGGGAGTTTTTATTGAGTAAGGTGCTCTGATAATCCATTGCTCCATCAAAACGCTAGAAAAAAATAGTAAGACAATTTTCATCCTATTTGCACATGTAATTTCTTGCTCTGATAAGGCAAATTTGGAATCGGTGTTTTATGCTCTCCAATACAGCAATCTTATCTAAAAAGGGCACTTTGACTAAACATGGGCCCTAGTAAGCAACGATTTTCACACTACTCGAAAATTCCTCAGCTTTCGACAGAATACATACAACCTCATGGTTCTCCGTTTTGCAAATATACTAATTGGTTTGAACTAAACCTAAGCTGCCGTAAAGGCGGAGTTATTGAAAGATTCAAAGGCAAGTGAGTATCTTCGAAAAATTCTCATTTTCTGTTCTGCATTCACGAATCTGTAAAACTGTAGATCGTTACAATTTACAATTTAATCCACAAAGTCACATTTTGAGAACATCAAAGTTTTCATATGTATGTTTCTGAAAATTACTTTTTTAGATAGAACTCCTTGATAGTCGCTGAATCAAGAACCCGTTCTCTTCGAAGAGCATAGCCGGCCACAAAACCGCAAATAACTAATATTCTGAAATCAGCAGCTTCTGAACTGCATTAGAATGCTGCCAATAGGTAGTTCGTAAAAATGGTCTTACGCATCAGCTCCCACATATCCATTGGGAAATAAGTTGCTATATGTGTAGAACAGCAAGATAAATACTATACTCCAACCACGCAGCCCTTGTATAACATCCCGTTTGAGGGGCATTCTATATTGAAACATATCACGAAAGAATTGATAAGAATGGAAGAATAGAATCAACTGTATAAAGAAGGTTTGGTTTGTGTTGTAGAGTATTTAGCCAAGTTGGAGATGCAGGGAAATACGACCGATAAACATCTCCTCAAAGTGTTCGTTGCTCTATCTCCCCGCATCTACACGTCACCAAAAGTACAGTAAAAGCATCGGTTCAATCGAAGCAAAAACGGAGATGAGAGATAAAATCATCGGGAAAATTCACGTACATACATTTCTGCAAAGCAGTTTATTACTACTTTCTGCAATCGAAGGCAATATCCGTCAATTTGGGTCTCCGAATTGTAAACAGAGTGGAAAAATCACTTCGAAAAGTGCTGGAAAAACTTGCCTAAGGTTTTCGATGTTGTATCAGCAAATACGAAAGTGTAACGCAAGGCAAAAAAGTGGCGCTTTTGATTCTGCTCCTCAGTTTTTCTTCGTAAAACTCGGCGTGAGATCATCTCTCATCGGGGTCTAGCTAATCATGGTGACTATACAGTCTGTCGCGATCGGGGTCAGGCCGAACCACTGGCGTAAATTTGCGCGCTTGCAGCGTTAGGGGTTGGTGCTGTGTATGCGCACTGATGGAGAGAGCGAAGAGATTATGAGAGAGCAGACAAGCCGGTCGCAACGTGACGCAAAACACTCGCGACGCGGACTTGGGACTGGGACAGACTGTACTGAACTTTCCCTTTTTTCACCGCAATCAATTACCTCAAACTGAGCCTTGCAAAACGATTTTTAAATTATCAAGTTCGCTTTTTTATACTTTCCTGAATGCGGTAAAGCTCCAGTGGAAACGCGAAGGTGGAAATTCAAAGAAACAGCCTTCCCGAATGTCCTGCGATATCATGTATTGAGACGTAAGTCTATAACAAACCCTATCTAAGGTCTTGAAATGGTTACGCCGTAAAATGCTAAATAGAATTTGAATATTTTGCCAAAAGTCAATTCTGCGGGAGGGACACTTAGGCCCGTATGCACGTACGTCCCCGCTGGGGAGGGGAGGGGAACTGGATCCCCAGGGGAACGATCCCCTCCGCCGAACCCCGCCATGACAGAGGGGAGGGGAGCGATCCCTTCCCCTGCACTCAAGCGGGGATGGTGTGAATGATTTCAGAGGTATTGATCGAGCGAACCCCAGTGCATACGGGGTTCGAATGGGGGAGGGGATCCCTTCCCTTCCCCCACTCGAACCCCGTATGCGCGAATTCAACTCAATAACGCGGGGGAGGGGATCGACATCCCCTGCAAAGAAGTAGGGGTTCGATGGTGTAGATCATGCTAGAGACGCGGATATTCTGGTTCTGCTCAGTCATTACCAAGCATTTCGTTCATTTTGATGGAGGATTTTCTTTAAAAGCCGGGTTCTTCTCTCAGCGACCTGTGGCTTGCAATTTGTCTTTCTATTTTACATTCGCCTCTTAAGAAGAAATCCGAGCAACAATAGCTGAGTTGGGTCCCGGGTACTAAGGGGGGAGAGCGAGGGGGACCCCGTACTCAAAATTGACCAAAAAAAAACTCGGAAAAAAGAGAAAGGCAAAAGTGAAAGGATTACTGAAATCCCACCTTTCACCGGCTTCGTGGAACTGGGGCTTCGGATGTTCGAGCGCTACGTTGCCACGCGGGTCCTTTTGAGCTTGGGGCGAAAACGCTGAATGAACAGTGAACGAATAGCAGAACTAGGAATAACAGATCGGCTTGAAATAGTCGCGGATCGCAACCGCCGTGGACACACCTCAAACTTGGGTAATTAAACCCTTTATTCAATACAAAATTAACAAAACACACGCGAAACAAAACTACTGAGTGAATATAATGAGAATCATGAGCTTCGGATATGAGGATCAAAATCGGAGTATCGAAAATGAGGCAAAAGAGTAACACGTATAGGAAGGCAAATCAAAACAAGAACAACTAAACCGGCTAACAGATAAAAGTATGGCAAAAGTAAAGAACCGACATACAAATGAGATACAAAAGATCCGACCAATAGCTATCATTGATTTGTCCCTTCGTGTGACGCCGGCGCCCTGAAATACCCCACTTTGGCGCGCAAGAGATCAAAACGGAGTGCTGAGGCCGGGGATCAATCCGGCCTCAGCACAATAGCTGCCAATTTCGATTATTTGTAGGAGTTCTTGATCAATCAGGAAATTTGCGCATTTTTCATATAACATAATAGTTTTAACTATATAGGCTGAGTAAACACACTGTAACTTTCATATTTCATGACATGTTGCCATTATCTTGTTTTTTTTTTAACATAAGCTGCCTCGAAAAAATCTAGAAAGTAGCATATTTGCCTATTTCTGAGTAGAAATCCCCTGGGGAGTGATCCCCTCCCCAGCGTTCCCCTTGTGCATAGCAGGGATGGCTGCTGGGGATCATTCCCCTGGGATAAAGGACGATATGCAGCTGATAATTACAGCGTTTATGGAGAGCTGGCACAATTTGCAGCTTCTGTTATGTGTTAGAATACTGCTTTGAGCGTCCGCGCGGCACCCCCCCCCCCCTTTTCGGCAGCATAACGTCTTCTACCCAATCCCTTGCAGAGACACATCAACTTCTATAGTTCAACATTTTTACGCTGAAATGGAGCAGCATGAACGAAAGTGGGCAGCATCCAAGAAAGCAGGAACATAATGGGAGTAGAAAAATTCATTTTTAGCGCCCCGAGCGCAGTCACTGCATACGCGCATTCCGCAACCCTAAATTAATTAAAGTGAGGGGATGAAGATGAGTTGTAGTCAAAATATGAAATAAGAAAGAGTTTTTCATAGAAAATTCGAAAGCAAGGTGATTTCCCCGCTTGATCCCCTCTTGTGCATAAGAGGGTTCACTTCCCCTCCCCACAGGGGATCCCTTGAACGATATTGGTTGTTGTGCATACGGGGGTTCGCGCGGGGAGGGGAGGGGATCCCCAGCGGGGATCATTTCAATGGTTAAGCGCACATCCCCTCCCCGCGGGGATGTACGTGCATACGGGCCTAAGGCCCGTATGCACGTACATCCCCGCGGGGAGGGGATGTGCGCTTAACCATTGAAATGATCCCCGCTGGGGATCCCCTCCCCTCCCCGCGCGAACCCCCGTATGCACAAAGACAATATCGTACAAGGGATCCCCTTCGGGGAGGGGAAGTGAACCCTCTTATGCACAAGAGGGGATCAAGCGGGGAAATCACCTTGCTTTCAAATTTTCTATGAAAAACTCTTTCTTATTTCATGTTTTGACTGCAACTCATCTTCATCTCCTCACTTCACTTAATTTAGGGTTGCGGAATGTGCGTATGCAGTGACTGCGCTCGGGGTGCTAAAAATGATTTTTTCTACTCCCTCTATGTTCCTGCTTTCTTGGATGCTGCCCACTTTCGTTCATGCTGCTCCATTTCAGCGTCAAAATGTTGAACTATAGAAGTTGATGTGTCTCTGCAAGGGAATGGGTAGAAGACGTTATGCTGCCGAAAAGGGGTGGGGGTGCCGCGCGGACGCTCAAAGCAGTATTCTAACACATAACAAAAGCTGCAAATTGTGTCAGCTCTCCATAAACGCTGTAACTATCAGCTGCATATCGTCGTTTATCCCAGGGGAATGATCCCCAGCAGCCATCCCTGCTATGCACAAGGGGAACGCTGGGGAGGGGATCACTCCCCAGGGGATTTCTACTCAGAAATAGGCAAATATGCTACTTTCTAGATTTTTTCGAGGCAGCTTATGTTTAAAAAAAACAAGATAATGGCAATATGTCATGAAATATGAAAGTTACAGTGTGTTTAATCAGCCTATATAGTTAAAACTATTATGTTATATGAAAAATGCACAAATTTCCTGAATGATCAAGAACACCTACAAATAATCGAAATTGGCAGCTATTGTTGCTCGGATTTCTTGTCAAGAGGCGAATATAGAAAAGAAAGACAAATTGCAAGCCACAGGTCGCTGAGAGAAGAACCCGGCTTTCAAAGAAAATCCTCCATCAAAATGAACGAAATGCTTGGTAATGACTGGGCAGAACCAGAATATCCGCGTCTCTGGCATGATCTACACCATCGAACCCCTACTTCGTTGCAGGGGATGTCGATCCCCTCCCCCGCGCTATTGAGTTGAATTCGCGCATACGGGGTTCGAGTGGGGGAAGGGAAGGGATCCCCTCCCCCATTCGAACCCCGTATGCACTGGGGTTCGCTCGATCAATACCTCTGAAATCATTCACACCATCCCCGCTTAGGTGCAGGGGAGGGGATCGCTCCCCTCCCCTCTGTCATGGCGGGGTTCGGCGGAGGGGATCGTTCCCCTGGGGATCCAGCTCCCCTCCCCTCCCCAGCGGGGACGTACGTGCATACGGGCCTTAGACAAGTGAACTGGGTCACTAGCGCTATAATTGTTGCGAGAATTCAAATTAACGTTATTGTATCAAAGACCAAAACCGCAATCCATCGCCTAATGATTCGTTTTTGGGTACTCTTGTCTTGAAGATTTTGATTTAGATAATCATTTTTATCATAAAGAATCGCGAATACAATGCCAAAAAGACTGATGCCGCTGTTACTATTGATAAAGATCGCAGCAGTTTTGGGCTGCATCGCAAGCAGAGACCCAGAAGGTAATGTTTTCTAAAGCTGCATCCAGCGTTGCCCGTGTGTTGAAGTTGTGCCCGCGTTCCAACGAGTTCCAGCGCAGTGCTAGCGCCATGTTGGCACTCATGCGCACCGCCCTTATTGATCGACTTCGCGGCACAGCGCTGGCACGGGCGACTCTGGATGTTGAATGATACTATATTGGCTAGCTAAATAATAGTGGAACAGTAATACTCTACTCAAGACTTTACACGGGAGCCCCCTATGGCAGCAACCCCTCATCCTCCACTTCTTGTTCTTCTTGTGCTTCAGCACTGTATCGAAATGACTGCAACGGTATGCCAAGAAATCCGTGCCCAAGTGCTGCTCAGCCATGGTGCGAACAAGAAATGC